GCACGTATCGCAACTTTTGCAACTCCGCCGAACTGGCATATTGTCAAGAATGTCTACCAAGCAACTGACAGCGTGATACAGAACCGACTAATAGCTCAACTCACGACAATCCAAATGCAACCAGGAGAAAAGGCGATGCCTTACATCAATCGTTGCAGAGGCTTACGCGACAAGCTTCTACGAAGCGGAGGGCACTCATCAAAGGATTCGCTCATCACATTTGTTCTTGCCGGTCTCGGTCCTCAGTGGCATACGACACGTCCCCTACTACGCGCTCACGGAAGGATCTCCGAGATGCACTTGTGCGCAGACCTCCACGCCAAACAGCAAGACATGGACCTGTATGAAGAACGCAAAGAAACCCAGTCAGCAACTTGCGTTCTTCACGCACGAGCGTAACCACAACCCTCACCATCAGAAACGACACTCACCTCCATACTGTCATTGATGCTGCACGACGGGACACTTGCGCTTCAAATGCCCAAGGCAGCAGCAGCAGGAGGAGCAGCAGCAGCCGCAGTTCTTGCAGCACCAACCTCGAGCGCTGCCACATCCGTTACTGAGTCCGGTCGCTTCAAATCAGCATCGCCCACCAGCTCCGGCGAACCGCCCTGCACAAAACGCACAAAATATCATCAGCTGCATGGCACGAACAGAATTCTATGTACCCGACTCCCCGCCTCACTGCGATCTCGACAAACAAACCCCCGCTCCAACACAGACCCGACTCCAACCAAACCCGACTTACGCTGCAATAGCTCGCGACGAACCATCCGGCCACGACACATGGTTTCTTTATAGCTGCTATGGACAGCACATGTGTTCTTCAACACGTTTCGTCCAGAGAGAGAAGACTCTGAGCCGAGAAGTCGTCATCACCATAGCCAACAACCAGGACCTGCACATACGAAAAGAAGGAGTTGTTCATTTACGATCCAGAGAGACAAACGTGATAATACTGATGTCATGAGTACTCGTCATCGACAACCTCGGCTACAATCTACTGAGCGTCAACCAGCTAATGTCGAAGGGTATTCACCTGGAGTGTGACAGCTTCGATTGGGATTTCCGTCTCTACCACGGGAAGGGCGGTCTCTTTATTGGCATAGCCATCTAGAAGCATGGCGTCTTCGTCGTGGACTTCGTTCCAGACCGCGGGACCGCTGACAGTGATGGCGACGTCTCCTTTGCGCCCTGGACGCACCCGCCGAATCTTGACCCCGGATTCGACCGCGACGGTTTCTGGTACTCCAACACCATCCCTGAATCAGAGAGCACACGGGCATTAGCGGTGATGCGGGAAGCAGAGGAACAAGAAGCAAGAATACAACACGCAACAGAACCACAAGCGCCGACGAGACCACTTCCTGAAAGTCCCATCGCTGGGACTTTGTCAGCGTCACCTGTCGAAGCAGCTCCGCCTGTAACGTCACATGTTGATGAACCGCCGCCGACCGATGCTGAGCAGCTTAAGGCGTATCCTCGCGAGCAGCATCGAAGCGCCGCGACCGTCTCCGCCTTCTACGCCAACTCGGATCTGTACGGACGCTCTGTGGGTCACAAGGCAAGCGAAGAAAAATGGCACCAAAGGTCAGGACATCCCGGCAATTCAAAACTATTCGACACTATTCGTGCGAATGTCCTGGACAAGGATGCTCTTCTATTTCTCGATGGCTGTGAACTTCGGCCTGCTCGACAAACCTGCTTTATCTGCCCAGAAGCAGATCTTCCTCGCCAACCGTTCCCGTCACATCACAACCCGAGCGCACCAGAGTACGCTTCACTCGAAAAAGTTTACAGCGACATACTGTATATCCCGCGAAAATTCGGCCGGGCCAACCTCAACTACGTTATCCCCTTCGTCGATGCCGCAACACGGTACACCTGGCATCTTAACCTACTGGCACACAACCTCGCCTTCTCTGCCTTCGTCGCATGGCTTGCTGCAATTGAAACGGAGGGAGACACGAAGCTCAAATGTTTTCAGTCAGAGAGGGCGATGGAATACCAGTCACAGCAATTCAGGGACTACATTGTTGAGAGAGGAATCAAGAGGCTCGTCAGCCTTCCCTTCGCTCACCAACAGAATGGAGTACCAGGGAGGATGAACAAAACCCTCCAGAACACCATGAGGAAGCTGCTGACTGGGATGCGCTTGCCCAACTTGCAGTGGCCGGACGCGATGAATCACACCGTTATGCTGCATAATCTTCTGACATCAAGCTCCCTGCCAAACAACGCATCACCGCATCTGCTGTGGACAGGGAAGTAGGGTAGCACAAAATTTGTATGAGTGTTCGGCTGCATGGTACAGTACTGTCCGCACACTACACGGGCTGGACGATTTTCGCAGTGAGCAAGATGGGGCCTACACCTCGGTGTGGAAAAACACTACAAGGCGTGGAAAACAGGGCTGACGTTTCAAAAAAAGGCACTCTGAGCCAACCCCCCCCAAAAAAAAAATAGTCTGAAGGGCCTTCAGCCGAAATTTTTGTAGTCTAAAATGTCAGGGTCCAGAACTCAGCGAGTCTGATTTTTTCAGGGTCTAGGACGTACAACCAAAGTCACACACGGGAAACACCCCCACAGCGAGAAACTTCCCTCCCTCCTACACCTCCCAAAAATTCGGTTAAGTCCCTTGCAGCCATAAAAATTCCTCCCACAGCCCGCGCCCCCCCCCCAACCAGCAACCTTGTTATACCCTCGTTTTGCGTAGTTGTTAAATGTGGGAAACGGGGAAGTCATTCCTAAAAACCGAGGGGGTAAAATCGCACTGCCACGGAAAACGAAACTGAGGAGAGGGGGAATCGAAACTGACGGGGAAATGGGGAGGGAATCAAAATGGAGGGGAGGGGGGAAGCGAAACAAAGGGGAGGGGGGGGAAGGGGGGGGGCGGTCGAAACGGAGAGGATGGGGGAAGCGAAACGGAGAGGAAGGGGGAAGTGATTGAAACAGAGGGGAGGGGGGGGAATCGAAACGGCAGGGAGGGGGGAAGCTGGGGAATAGGACGGTGGGAGAAATTTCGCGCCCTTGCAGCGTCCCGGTGGGGAAATCTTGGACGTTAATCACAACATAACATCGAACGATTGATATATGTCGAAACGATCGCAAACGATCGTGACCGTTACATTTTGGTAGACTTTCAGTTGACCAAACGGGCAACTGGCGAGAATTTCCCTATGTTAAAAATGCGGAATTTACTCTCATTCCAATGCAGTTAAAAAAAAATTGTGAAAGTCTCATTCAAAACTTCTGGGTTGTTCCAGGTGTTAGGGAGGACTGTATCTGACAACATGACTTAGTCGAAATTTAGGGTGGGTTGTGGGGTGTATGGGGGATGTCTCTAGTGTTCCGGGACTTCGCCGAAATTTTAGATGGGTTGTGGGGTGTGGGGTGGGGGTTGTCTCTAGGGTTCGGGGACTTGGCCAAAAAAATTTAGGGGTTGTGGGGTGTGTGGGGCATGTCTCTAGCGATTGGGGACTTCACCAAATTTTCCTAAGGTTGGTACTATACAGGTAATGAGTCAGGGTCTGTACGCGCTGTGCTCTGAAAACTCAGTACTGGGTTAGCGACAACTCTGATTTTCTCAGGATCCCTAGAATCGTACTCTGAAGGGATCAGGATTGGGAAAATGCCTTATCTGGAAATTCAGGTTTGGCCAAAAAACATGTCTGAGATTTCAGACTAATCAGAGTAAATAGTCTGATAAAGTCAGCCCTGGTGGAAAATCTTCGACGTGGAAGATAAGGAAATAGTACTGGCACGTGATGTGATTTTCTACGAGAACCTCACCCTCAACCATTACCTGGAGAACATCGCAGCCAATCAAGACCCATCCGGTGGTTTCGCTGGCGCACGCGCGTTCGCTTCGACCGAAGAAGAAGCTGACCTGGAGGAGCATTACGTCCCGGACGCGTCAGCAGCTGCAGGACCACTTCCTTACTGCCCCGTCGACATACAGATGGACAAAGAGAACCCTCGCGAAAGCGTGAATGCCGAAGCATACTACTACTTCACCGATACGGGTTACGTAACTCCTCACATCGTCGACACCAACGTTTTAGAACGAGTAGGACCAAGTTTTGTACCTGATCTTGAAGCGGGAGACGAGGCCGACTAGCCCGAGATCCAACACTCCCCCGCTACCCCGAGACAGGCCTGCAAATCCTCGGACTCGTAGCAGTCGTGCATCTTCCGTCCTCACCGCCGCCAGTCGAGGAGTCGAAGACCATCAAGCGAGCGCTGCAAGGACCACACAGGGAAAAATGGAGGGAGGCAATGGATCGAGAATTCGTGGCACTGTACGAGCGAAACACTTGGAAGCTGATACCGATTTCTCAGACCAAGGGGAAGACCATCCTCTCCGGGAAGTGGGTCTTCCGAGTGAAGACCAAGGCAGATGGAACCATGGTTCCGCACCTGTTGACGAAAAATCATGCCCGAGGTTTCTTGGTTCAGAGCCCCCGAACCTGAAGGGGAGGTGGTTCGGGTGTGACCTGAGCGAGAGGCAAAACGGCTCGGATTGGTTCGAACTTGCCCTAACGTTGTCACCTTACCGCCTCTGCCAGATTGTCCTATGCAGTACGGTTGTAACTCACACATGGGTGCTCATCCTGTCGTCGGATGTCGCCCGTTGTTCGCCTGTTTTAAGGTGAACTTCCTGAACATGGTGTAACAGCTAGATGTCCTTCGTGCAAGCAAATCTACGCACCTTGTTGAGTCCCTTATGGAGCGGCGAGCTGTTTGCGACAAAGCAATCTTTTCGCGCAGGCTCCTCAAAGTTACCATGGCGTCCAAAAATTTTCTTCTTGGTTGATTGTGACATTGACACACCCTCGATTTAGTTGACCCGGCTACACATTAGAGTGAATACACCCCCCCAAGAACATCCTCTCATGACATACACCAGTAAAACATGTCAGATGTAAAATGCCTACCTAGTTCCAAAGCTTGAAGCTTAAAAATAAAGGCTTCTGTTTGAGGGTGTTGTAGACAAATGTTAGAAATTCTTCATCTATGAACAAAAGATATGAACAAGGGACACCTAGTTCCACACAACGCAAGTGTATATATTGTTCAACGACCAATCTCGACAGCCAAGCGATTATCTCTGTACAACCCTGTGCCCAGCAAGGTCCCCATTTCAGCCCCGCCCCGCCTGCCCTGTCCCAACCCACCCTGCCAACACTTCACCGACATCCCATTCCTGCAGCTCGTCCCAATTGTGCCCCTCCACTACCCGCTGCTGCTGAAGTATCGCTCCATCACCTCACTAATCCCTTCCCCCCGGCTCCCCGCTTCACCATCCCTTGCCCTGAGCATGGTGCCAGCATGGACTCTCACCCAGCGATGCCCCGATGCCCGTGCATCCAACAAACATATGCTGCATCTCTTCCCTGCTTCTCACTGCTGCTCACCCCTTCCCCTCTACTCACTGCTGCCGAAGTATCGCTCCATCACCTCACTAATCCCACTGCCCTCAAACCTCCCAGCCCCATCCCTCGCCCTGGACTCCCTGCGTGCACACTGAACGAGCTGTGCCCCGACAACCGAGCACCCAACACATATGCTGCTGCTGCTGCTCCTCCTCCTTCTCACTGCTGCTCACCCCTTCCCCCCTACTCACTGCTGCCGAAGTATCGCTCCATCACCTCACTAATCCCACCCACTGCCCTCATCCCTCCCAGCCCCATCCCTCGCCCTGGGCTCCCTGCGTGCACACTGAACGAGCTGTGCCCCGACAACCGAGCACCCATCACATATGCTGCTGCTGCTGCTCACCCCTTCCCCTCTACTCACTGCTGCCAAAGTATCGCTCCATCACCTCACTGATCCCACTGCCCTCATCCCTCCCCGCCCCATCCCTCGCCCTGGGAGTGCTGCCAGCATGCACACTGAACGAGCTGTGCCCCGACAACCGAGCACCCATCACATATGCTGCTGCTGCTGCTGCTGCTGCTGCTGCTGCTGCTGCTCACCCCTTCCCCTCTACTCACTGCTGCCAAAGTATCGTTCCATCACCTCACTGATCCCACTGCCCTCATCCCTCCCCGCCCCATCCCTCGCCCTGGGAGTGCTGCCAGCATGCACACTGAACGAGCTGTGCCCCGACGACCGAGCATCCATCCCATCCATTCCACCTATCCCCGACGCCACGAGCACGTCCGACGCCTCTAGGACACTCCAGTCCCCATCTTCAATCATCGTCACCCCTTCCACTCCGGTGCTGCTCTCAGCTAACGCCCTCTCCATGTTCCTTTGCTCCTGTTGCTGCTGCTTCTGTAGCTGCTGCTGCTCTATGAGCCACTGGGGGCTGGGTTGGTCGTGCAGCAGCCGGGTGCGGGACAGGGGGAAGATTTCACGGAGCATGCCTGACATTTCACGCATCCTGGCCTCAAACTGCTCCTCGTCCTCAATGGTACAAGGGGTAGTAGGGGCGGTGGAGCTGCTGCTAGCAGCAGCCATGGTGCCAGCAGTGGCGACAGCAGTGGCAGCAGGAGCAGCAGAAGCAGCTGGAGCAGCAGCATTGGTGGTGCCAAGGGAGGAGTCAACAGGAGGGTTGCTACTAGCTGCAGTGGATGTGGCAAGCTTCTGGGCGCTGCAAAGCTCAGAGTACAGAGCGGCCGCGCCAGCAGCATCAGAATCAGTTGCATCGGCAGCGGTGGTAACAGCAGCAGCAGCTGTGTTTGTTGCACCCACCCCAGCAACGGGGAGCGTGCAATCGGCTGACAGCGCTACTGCACCGAGGCTAGATCGCTCTTCACCCGCAAACTCTGCGCCAGGAGCGGCCTGTGCAGCGGACAGAAGGGCTTCAGGAGCAGGTGCTGCTGCTGACGAGCCTTGTGAGAATTCTTCATGCAGCGACCGCTGGAAGGACTCGTGCTGAGGGCCTGGTGTAGCACACACAGAGAGAAACGCGGGCACACATGCATAAAGAGGGATTAGATACGTGTGCATCCAGCACACACGGGCACACAACATCGTTCCCAAACCCCCACCAGTATGTAAGAAGGATTTTGAGGCATGCATCCACAAAAACCCCTCACGAACACACCTTTACATTCTCTGCGCTCACCTTCTCTTCCCTCCTCTGAAACAAACGAGTATCCCAGGTCCTCTTCCACGCTTCCAGGCAGCTTGCCCACGCCCCGCACCAGCGCCGCCAGGTCCTCCCTCAGCACCGCCAGCTGGCCCTCCAACACGTCAGCCTCGTGGTGCCGCGCCACGAGCGAGTCCGCCAGCTCAGCGCACGCCGCCTCCTGCCTCTCCAGCAGCGGCACCTCCCCCAGCACCCTCCCCAGCTCCCTCTCCGCCCCCTCCCTCCTCCTCCGCCCTTCCTCCTCCCTCTCCCTCCTCCTCCCCTCCACCTCCCGCAACCTCTCCCTCGCCCGCACCAGCCTCCCCTCCAAAAGTTCCCGAACCTCCTTCAACTGCCCCTCCACTGCGGCAAACTGCCCCTTAATCGCCTCGACCCGGGCTTTAAGCCCCTCGGCTTCCTCGTTAAGCTGCGCCCGGTGCCCGAACACCTGGGCCGCTCTGATCTCCAGCGCCTGCTGGGACCGCACCACGTGCCGGAGGATACTCTCTGCTTCGCTATCATCAGCCTCGCCAGCGTGGGACAGGGCGTGTTCGGCTGCGGCTGCTTCCTGCTCGACGCGCTCTACCTGCTGGAGGAGGTCTCGGACCAGGCCTAGCTGGGCTTCCAGGCGGGTTCTGGCGTCCTTGGTGGTGGAGACATGGTCGGATATGGCGCTCACTTCGACTTGCATGAAGGACCGGCTCCAGCTGCTGACTAGGCTCTCGGGCACCTCCTCCTCCTGCTCCTCCTCGCCCGCATGCTCCTCCGCTTGCTCCTGCGCATCTCCCTCCCACTCATCCTCCTCAGCAACCTTCACCCCATCCTGTCCCTGCATCTTGCCTTGTTCGTCTGCTGTGCTCGTCACCCCCTCCATCACGCCACCTCCAGAATCCACCCACTCTACCCCTTGGACCTCTCCACCCTCGCCCTTGCTGCTCTTCTCTTCAACTGCTCCGGCCTCGTCCTTGCTCCCCTCCAAGACGAGCCCATCCTCGTTAAAGGCATCGCCTTGAATGGACGACGCCTCGGCATCGTCCTTGCTCGCTTCGCCCACCTGCCTGGCCTCACCCTCGGGCTCGACTGCGCCATCAGCCGTCTGCATCGCGTGCACCGCTGCAAGCCTCTCGTTGACCTCAACCTCAGCCACACCAGCGTCGCCCTCCTCCGTCTCGTCCCGTGCCTCCTCGATGCCCTTCTCCACAGCGCTCCCATCCTTCGCATCCCCCTCTACCTCCGCCACTTCCTCCTCCGCCACTTCCTTCACCTCCGCCTGCAGTGCTCCACGTTCAGCCTCATCAAAACACATCTTAGCCTTCTCAACCTTCTCAGCCTTCGCCTCAGCCTCCTCCTCCTCCTCCTCCTCAGCCGTCTCCTCAGCCTTGCTGGAATCACTCTTAACCTTGCCAAGTTGCGCCTCATCTTCGCTCAAGACAACGACATCAGCACCGGCATCAGCATCGGCATCAGCATCTGCATCCGCATCCGCATCCGCCTTCGGCATCGACGGTACAGTCGCCATGGAAACGGCAGCCTGCTCCTCAGAGATATCAGACCCAGGCTCTTCCCTCCTGGAATTAGCCTCGGCATCGTCCTCGGGAACTCCGGCCTCAGCCTCGTCCTCGGGAACTCCGGCCTCAGCCTCGTCCTCGGGAACTCCGGCCTCAGCCTCGTCCTCGGGAACTCCGGCCTCAGCCTCGTCCTCGGGAACTCCGGCCTCAGCCTCGTCCTCGGGAACTCCGGCCTCAGCCTCGTCCTCGGGAACTCCGGCCTCAGCCTCGTCCTCGGGAACTCCGGCCTCAGCCTCGTCCTCGGGAACTCCGGCCTCAGCCTCGTCCTCGGGAACTCCGGCCTCAGCCTCTTCCCTCCCAGAATCCGCCACATCGTCTCTCACGTCGGCGGCTTCGACCGCGATGACGTCAGCATCGGCGACCACAGAGTCGTTCTCAGGTTCACTAGAGTTGACATGAGCTGAAACCGATGAACCGAGGGGTGAACTGTCTGCTGAACTGTCGCCGCGGGTGCCTGTACCTTGCGGAGGAGCGCTTACGCTAGAAAAGTCCTGCTGCTCGGGTTTCTCTCCCTGCTCGACGTGCTTTTCTCCCTGCTTGTCCTGTTTCTCGTCGCTGGACGGAATCGACGGAACTGACGAAGCCGTGACCGGTGTTTCTGGCAAGACCGCCATACTGTCGGTGGAGGCCACTGGAGCTTGGAGACGAGGAGCGCTTGACGCGGGAAGGTCCTGCTCGGCTTCGAAAAAAGAATCCTCGTTATTGACCGCTTCGTCAGACGACTCCTCGTTATTGACCGCTTCGTCAGAAGACTCCTCGTAACTGGCGGACGACGAATCATGTGCGCCAGCACCGGGTTGACTTCCGGATGGTGCCGCCTGAGCTGCAGAATCCTGCACACGAAGATAACGGAGAAAGAGCCGAAAGTCAAGAGCAGGAAGAAACAGGTGTCACCGGAAACGAAACGATAATAACGAAGGCGATCAAATTGCATGGTTAACAGACCCTAGCAAGAAAGTCATAGCAAGAAACGCACCGTATTCTCCTCGACATCGTCCTCCTTGTCGGAAAACTCTCCGTCGGTAATTTCCCCGTCTGAAGACGAAGATTCTGAATCGGCTTCCTCCATCAGGTACTGGACCGCCTCATCCATCCCTTCCGCCGACGTGCCATGCTCGCGAATCGCCGCCTTGAGAAGCCTGATGTCAACCTTCGGAAACAACTCCCGTAACTGTGCTACAGCAGCCTCCATGGCGCGACGCCGCTTATTTGATGTGAGTGGTTCCTCTTGCTACTTCATTCGCAGTCTCAGAATCCTAAGAACTGGAGCTGAAAATATTCCCTCCCCCAGAAACCTGGAGGCACAGATGTGCCACGGAGAGCTCCAGCTATGAGCATAAACTCGGAATTCTGGAATGAAGGGCACACGAACTGAGCTGGGTAGTGGGCAGTGGGCACTGCTGGTGGCTCGCGTCTCGTTCCTAGGGTCTTGCTTCCGCTCTGTTCCGCGTCTCTTTTGCCGTCACTTGGCTCGGCTGCCTGGTGCGAAAGAGCAGGTGCGAAAAGAATGGATGCTGATGGTTGGGGGATAGGTATGACGGCCTGGTCTGGTTAGGGATCGCTGGTTCGGAGGCTCCACCAGACGGTGGTTAATTTCTACATGTGTTCCGTTCATTGTGTACCTTTACGCAAGAATTCTCGAATTTTGGACATTGAAAATAAACCGCTCTCGATCTGACGAGTAGGAGGTGTGATGGAGAAGTGGTTGTCACGTCATGTGACAAAGAAAGGAAGTGGGACCCTTATACGCAATCTGTTTAAAATAATCCTGGAACCGTCACGTTTCAGCCGCTGAAGGGCAACCACAATCGGAAACTGTAATCTCCTAATGACGGGACAGGCTTGGTTTGCGAAGAGGGGTTTGGTTTGGAAGCCATGTGATGACGGCGTGGCGACACGGGTTTTGACATGCCAGAAGGCAGCTTGGTTACAGCCACCATTCGCAGAGAGTGAGTGTGAGAGAAGACGACAACGTTTAGGCGGTTCTCTCGACGTTGGCGAACTTGACGGTGACGTCTGCCTTGAAGGCTGCATTGCTTCTTGTTCACGCCTTCCGTGATTCTCGTGAATGGTGGTTCCAAGTACACGCAAAGGAAAGTGATTAGAAAACAAATGACATGAATGAGACACTATATCAAATCGGCATTAGATAAACTATAAAGTAATGTATCCCCATTTGATCATACGAATGAATCGATGAATAATCTGATCATTAAATGTTTAATATCACCTGGCACAAGTATTTTGTGGCAAGGTTCGTGCAATGGCAGTAATCACCAAAGAAAACATGAGGGACATAACATCACCAGAAAACAGAAAAAATTAGCATAATTGATAATTGAAAATGGGCAGATAGTGCGGAACTCAATCAGCGGGCTGTACAAGGATCAACTTGTGTCGAGTCGAGTCGATTGACAGAATCCAGGCGTTCCAGCAGTTGAAGCTGGCGATGTGGGGGCGTCCTGGGCTGGCGATTTTAATCAGATTCTGAACTGACGTCTGCTTGAAGGAAAACGGAGGGAGAGACGGCCGATCTTCGTCCAGGTTTCATGCGTTCAGGCTTCAACGCACCCGCTATTCTTAGTCCGTGCTATTCCGTCAGAGGCAGTCTGAATCTCGAAAGAAGTGGCATCAGATCCTGTATTCCGTTTGTTGTAAGACGACTGAATGGGCTGCAATAGGCCGGCTCCCGAGCGGACATAGCGGGATAAGGTCGGACTCGGGAAGGCACTAGCGACATACAGAAGCTTACACTAGTTGACGGAATGTACGAAGCGACAGAGCTCCAGGCGATGCTGCTGGCTCTTGCATAGAGTTTATTTGTGACAAGGGTCATATGCGACAAGGGGATCGCCTTCTTCATACAACGGTCGGCTTGTATCGGGGATACGGCAATGGACGAGGCGACAGAGCTCCAGGCAGTGCTGCAGGCCCTCGCAGTCGCCGTTGATTGGCGGACCGACCAGGCTTCTCGTGGCGCGGCCACGGAATTCCTGGAAAAGGTGAATTTTCGCAGAGCAACCGAGAGGAAATCAAATCTGCTGACGGTATCTGGTGACCGTATCCGCCGAGTAGTCGTTTGGATCGTCCAGAGGTGGAGAGGTGGCCTCCTGCGGAACCAGATTCTGACTTATACCTGCTCTCCTGATCTGGTCACTCCTGCTTGACCTCCTCCTGGTCAGGGAGATTTCCTGGTCGTGCTGGCTGTCTCGCAGCCAATGCGTTCCTTCCCGCCTTCCTAACCAGACCAGAAGAGCAGGTATTAGTCAGAATCTGGTCACTCCTGCTTGACCTCCTGGTCAGGGAGATGTCCTGGTCGCGCTGGCTGTCTCGCAGCCAATGCGTTCCTTCCCGCCTTCCTAACCAGATCAGAACAGCAGGTATTAGTCAGAATCTGGTCACTCCTGCTTGACCTCCTCCTGGTCAGGGAGATGTCCTGGTCGTGCTGGCTGTCTCGCAGCCAATGCGTTCCGTCCCGCCTTTCTAGCCCACGTTCTCCCCATCTCGTCGTGAGATCCGATTTCTTAATTATCAGGCCTGATCACTTGGTCGAGCGTGGCTAGGCGGATCTGAGTCGCCCGGGGAGGGCTCGTTTGTTCAGCTCACATGATCAGGACGTGTGTTTCTTAGACGTTAAAGGGCGTTCTCTCCTTATGTTTGATCGGACGAAGCCTGAAACCACGCTTGTCCTCTCCTCACCGAGACACGCTTCCTGATCACGTTTCCTGCCACCCCTCCTTCTCCCCCCCACCCCACCCCTCTCCCCTTCTCACTCTCTCAGCTCAAGGCAGAGGAGGAGCCACACCGTCAGGCGTCCATCGCAGCTCATTTAGTGAACAGCGACCAGCCCGAGCATGCCCGGCTCTTCGGCTTCCAGCTGCTGCAGGTATGCTGCGCTCTTCTGGGGTGCTTCTGCAAGTGCTCACCAGCTTCAGGTGCTTCTTCGGGTGCTCACCAGCTTCAGGTGCTTCTGCAGGTGCTCACCAGCTTCAGGTGCTTCTTTGGGTGCCCAACAGCTTCAGGTGCTCACCAGCTTCCGGCGCCTCTGCACTGCTTCTGCTGCAGGAATACACCATGCTGGGACCGCTGCATGTGCACCCTCGTTTCGCTGCTGCTCACTCTCCCCTGCTGTAAATATACCAAATCCGCCCCCATTATTCCTTCCTCCTACTTACCTCTCCCCTTTGTCAGAACGTGGCCCGCAGCAAGTGGCAGCAGTTCCCCGCTGATGAGCGGCGCAGGCTGGCAGTGTACGCGTTCGACCTGCTCAGGCGCTGCGCCGATACTGCTGGCGAGCCCTGGTCTATTCGCAGCAAGGCAGCTGCCCTGATGGCTGATGTGAGTTGCTTTGAATCCTGCTCAGGCTGGCACTGTACGCGTTTGACCTGCGCAGGTGCTGCGCAGACGCTGCTGGCGAGCCATGCTCTATTCGCAGCAAAGCAGCCGCCTTGATGGCTGATGTGAGTCGTGATGTTGATGATGCTGCTGTTGCGGTGTACACGTTTGACCTGGTCAGTTGTTGTGCTGATACGGCTGTTGAGGCCTGAAAGGGCTCAGGAGATGCTTCCCCCCCTCCATGCAACTTTATTCACCACGCCCCCTTCCCTGCTCTCGTCTTCAATCCCCACTCTCTCAGATTGTGAAGCACGAGGGAGGGGTCAGACCTTTGAAAGGAGATGCTTGCAGTGTTCTGTGTCTGGCCTTCGCTGCTCGCGCCCTCTCGCTCACTTCCTTGCCTCCTATCCTTCACTCGCCCAGATCGTGAAGCACGAGGGAGGGGTCAGACCTTTGAAAGGAGATGCTTGCAGTGTTCTGTGTCTGGCCTTCGCTGCTCGCGCCCTCTCGCTCACTTCCTTGCCTCCTATCCTTCACTCGCCCAGATCGTGAAGCACGAGGGAGGGGTCAGACCTTTGAAAGGAGATGCTTGCAGTGTTCTGTGTCTGGCCTTCGCTGCTCGCGCCCTCTCGCTCACTTCCTTGCCTCCTATCCTTCACTCGCCCAGATCGTGAAGCACGAGGGAGGGGTCAGACCTTTGAAAGGAGATGCTTGCAGTGTTCTGTGTCTGGCCTTCGCTGCTCGCGCCCTCTCGCTCACTTCCTTGCCTCCTATCCTTCTCTCGCCCAGATCGTGAAGCACGAGGGAGGGGTCAGACCTTTGAAAGGAGATGCTTGCAATGTTCTGTGTCTGGCCTTCGCTGCTCGCGCCCTCTCGCTCACTTCCTTGCCTCCTATCCTTCACTCGCCCAGATCGTGAAGCACGAGGGAGGGGTCAGACCTTTGAAAGGAGATGCTTGCAGTGTTCTGTGTCTGGCCTTCGCTGCTCGCGCCCTCTCGCTCACTTCCTTGCCTCCTATCCTTCACTCGCCCAGATCGTGAAGCACGAGGGAGGGGTCAGACCTTTGAAAGGAGATGCTTGCAATGTTCTGTGTCTGGCCTTCGCTGCTCGCGCCCTCTCGCTCACTTCCTTGCCTCCTATCCTTCACTCGCCCAGATCGTGAAGCACGAGGGATGGGTCAGACCTTTGAAAGGAGATGCTTGCAGTGTTCTGTGTCTGGCCTTCGCTGCTCGCGCCCTCTCGCTCACTTCCTTGCCTCCTATCCTTCACTCGCCCAGATCGTGAAGCACGAGGGAGGGGTCAGACCTTTGAAAGGAGATGCTTGCAATGTTCTGTGTCTGGCCTTCGCTGCTCGCGCCCTCTCGCTCACTTCCTTGCCTCCTATCCTTCTCTCGCCCAGATCGTGAAGCACGAGGGCTCAGACCTTTGGAAGGAGATGCTCCCATCTCTGCTTTCTCTCTCTGCTGCCAGCCCCATCCATGTGAGTCAAGCAGAGTCTGCTCGAGGGTTGATTGTAGGGTTGACTAATTTCGTGGGAGTCCAGTCGTTTCACGTCAATTCTAGCGTCTGTTCTTCTGTATGTCTCTCCTGCTCTCCACTAGTATTTACCCCCCCCCCAACCCCTCCCCCTTCTCTTCCCCATTCCCTCTGTCCCCCCAAACCCCAAACCTTTTTCGCCTTGTGGGCTGGGTGGCAGGCAGAGACGGTGGCGCTTGTGCTGCAGTTTGTACCAGAAGACGTGACAGTCCATAACGAGGATATAGAAGGTATTCGTGCAGGAGAGATGCGAGCTTTTCGAGTCAGCTGAAGGCTGACAGTCAATAACGAGGATGTTGAAGGTAGCCGCATAGGAGACGGACACTATGTGGATGTGTGAGGTGCATGTGCCCAGTATGTAACATTACCCTTCTAGCCCCTTCTACCCCTTCTAGCCCCTTCTAGCCCCTTCTAGCCCCTTCTACCCACTTCTAACCGCTTCCAGCCCCTTCTCTCTCCTTCTAGCCCCTGTAGCCCCTTCTAGCCCCTTCTACCCACTTCTAACCGCTTCCAACCCCTTCTATCCCCTTCTAGCCGCTTCTCTTTTTGCCCTGCCATTGGGCAACAGATGGCGTCAGCTGTTTGTAGAACCACACAGCAATTCTGCCGCAGATCCCCTCCATCCTGCACTCAGTCCGCGCGTTGCTAGATTCCGTACAAAACCAGCCTTTTTCTGCCATGTCAGCCGTGTGCCTATCTTCTCCGTGCGCTCACCATCGCCCCCACATCCAACTCCCACCCAACACGACCACCACCCTTCCACCAGGCAATCGCAAGCATCAGCTGCTTCTAGGCCTCACAGCCACACTGTGGCGGATCCTGCCCTTCCTGTAATCTTTTCATGCTTTACCGGACACCCATCGGAATCATCTCCGCCTTTCCACCATCCCTCCACTCCACCAGGCAATCGCAGGCGTCAGCTGCTTCTAGGCCTCACAGCCACACTGTGGCGGATCCTGCCCTTCCTGTAATCTATTCATGCTTTGCCGGACACCCATCGGAATCATCTCCACCTTTCCACCATCCCTCCACTCCACCAGGCAATCGCAGGCGTCAGCTGCTTCTAGGCCTCACAACCACACTGCCGCAGATCCTGCCCTTCCTCTACTCGGTACATGCATGGCATACCTGCTTTCGGTGCCAACCATAACTCTTGGAGCTTGTGTTAGGTTTTTCAGAATTCTCAAAATCGTAACACAGCGCTGCTTACCTGTTTCCGGGGCCAACCGTAACTCTTGGAGCGAGCTTGCTTTTCTTGACCAGCTGCCACCTGTCAGTGTTACACACCCGTCACATCTTCTTTCCTTCCCCTCTCGTGCCACTCCCCATCGCTATTTTGTCCAGCTCCTGGACTCGAACTCTGCAGCAGCCCTTTGAGGGGATTCAAAAGTTGCCATCCTCTCATCTCGCTCCTCACTGCTCGTTTGTCCAGCTGCTGGACTCTTTGCCAGCTGTGAAGACCACTCTCTCTCCCTCCCTTGTTTCCTTCCCCCCCCCAGCTGCTGGACTCGAACTTCGCAGCAGCGCTGGCAGACATGCAGCAGAGCAAGGTCGACGCGGCAAGGCAGCATGCAGCAGCCGTCACAGCAGGCCTGGCAGCTCTGGGGGCTTATGCGGAGTGGGCACCTGTGCCTGCTCTCGCCTCTGCTGGTTTACTCAATGCGTAAGTCTGGGTTTTGGGGACTCGGGGTTTATGGGGTGGTTTCCTGTGTCACAGCGGGCCTGGCAGCTCTGGGGGCTTATGCGGAGTGGGCGCCTGTGCCTGCTCTCGCCTCTGCTGGCTTACTCAATCCGTGAGTTTTAGGGTCTCAAATTTCGGGGTTTAAAGTTTTAAGGTTTATGGGGTGCTCCTGTGACAGGACTCCTGGCAGCAGTGGGCGCCTATGCGGGGTGGCCGGCTGTTCCTGATCTGGCTTCTGCTGGTTTGCTTAATGCGTGAGCCAGGGGTTCGGGGTTCAGGGTTTATGGGTGGCACTCAATGCCGGTGTGACAGCGGGCCTGGCAGCCCTGGGTGCCTGTGCGGAGTGGACGATGCCTGTGCCTGCTCTCACCTCTGCTAGTCTACTGAGTGTGTGTTTCTAGGGTTCAGGTTCAGGGTTTAGGGTCTGTACGGAACACAAGTGCCTTTTTTTTCACTGGCGTCTGCAGTCTTCCTGTAAACAGGAACGACTCCATGCTACCCCCCTTGGTCCACTCCTCCGTCCCCTGCTTCACTTTCTCCCACGCTCCTGCCTCTTTCATGCATTTCCCCCCTCCAGCTGTGGCTTTCTCCTTGGCTCCCCCGACTTCCGCATGGGCGCTGCTGACTTCTTCAAGCACCTCGCTGCCAGGTGGGTGATCGAAGGGGTTGCTGAAGGATGCATGATGAGTGATGGTTAAAGGGGGGTGGGTGTATGAGAGCTGGGTCGGTCGTGCTTCTCCTGGGCTCGCCTGATTCCGCATGGGGGCTGCCGATTTCTTCAAGCACCCGCCTGCCAGGTGGGTGATGAAGGGGGATATTGAGGGTAACTGTGTTACAAATGGTCCTAGGATCGCTCCCTTTGTCCGTCCCTCTCTCTGTGTGTGGCTGGACGACCTGCATCAGATGACCAGGAGGCACTCAGTGCAGCAGTGACATTTGAGTCGATTCAAAAGTCATCAGATGACCAGGAGGCACTCAGTGCAGCAGTGACATTTGAGTCGACTCAAAAGTCATCAGATGACCAGGACGCACTCAGTGCAGCAGTGACATCAGTGGCGGACTTGTGTGCATTTCCGTTTGCATTTCCGTTTGTCTCCGTGACTCCGTCTCTCCCTTTATATTCAGGCGAGCGCTTTCAGACCACTAGGAGGCGTTCAATGCCGCCATGACATCAGTGGCAGACTCCCTCGTCTCTGCTGCGGATTCCTTTCCCCAATGCGTAACGGCGCCTCACCTCACCACCTCCTCCCACCTTCTCTTCCCCATAAGCCCGTTTCCTTCATCCACGCGCGCCCCTTCAGACGAACAGGAGGCATTCAATGCGGCCATGACATCGGTGGCAGACTCCCTCGTCTCCGCTGCTGCCTGCTTCGCTCGATGGCATCATGGACACCTCTCTCCCTCGTTCTTCACACGTCTCGCCCCTCACAGGCGAGCCCCTTCAAACGACTAGGAGGCGTTCAATGCGACCATGACATCGGTGGCAGACTCCCTCGTCTCCGCTGCTGACGCCTCCCTCGATCGCATCGCTGCCTTTCCTCTCTCTTCCCCCCCCCCCGCCCCCGCTTTTTCGGTTCCCCCATGCGCCCTTTTCTTTCTGCCAGGCGAGCCCCTTCGGACGACCAGGAGGCGTTCAATGCCGCCATGACATCGGTGGCAGACTCCCTCGTCTCTGCTGCTGACGCCTCCCTCGATCGCATCACCGCCTCTGCTGGCGCTGCCCCTGCTGGTGGCGCTGGAGGGGAAGCAGGGGGAGCAGGGGCAGGGGGAGGAGGAGGGGGGGCGGGGGAGGTGGATGAGGGGGAGTTGCAGTTTGCGGAGAGGGTGTGTGAGGCCATGGTGGCGTTTGCACCGTCCAATCTGAAGAGAGCTGCACAGCAGGACGACTCCCGATATGCGAGATTCTTCCACGCTGTAAGAGCGTTTTTTTTTTTATATTAAAAATCCACTCATCCACGTTTCCTCGTGCAGGATGACTCCAGATACGCGAGATTCTTCCACGCTGTAAGAGCGATTTGATTTCGTTTCTGGGTGTGTGAGTGGAGGTGGTAAGAGGCGTCAACCACATGTTTTGGTAAGAGGCGTCAACCACATGTTTTGAGATTTATATAAAACTGTTGTTTTTGCCTGTTTTCCAGTGTATATTATAGTTCTATTCTTGTTTCCGAGTAATGCCACACAATCCGATGCTCCGCTCCACATTGATAATAACCTCGTTTTGAGACGTCTCTAAAGTAGCCTCTTATCATACGGAGTGATGGCGCACCCTCCGGCGCTCCACATACCTCGTGCAGCCGTTTTCCCAAAAATTCCTCGTTCTCCTCACTTCTTTCTGTCCTAATTACACCTTCCCTCCAACCCGCTCTGCTGCTCCCCCCTGCTGCGCGCAGATGCTTCGGTTCTTTGAGTGCAAGTTCTTCCCCTTGCATGCTCTGGCGCTTCAACTATGGCTGGTGCGTTCACCAGCCCAGACGATGTGACTTTTGAGTCAACTCAATTGTTGCTTCGCTTCTTTGCTTCAGTTCTTTGAGTGCAAGTGCTTCCCCTTGCATGCTCTGGCGCTTCAACTCTGGCTGGTGCGTTCACCAGCCCCAGGCGATGTGACTTTTGAGTCAGCTCCATTGTTGCTTCGCTTCTTTGCTTCGGTTCTTTGAGTGCAAGTGCTTCCCCTTGCATGCTCTGGCGCTTCAACTCTGGCTGGTGCGTTCACCAGCCCAGACGATGTGACTTTTGAGTCAACTCAATTGTTGCTTCGCTTCGTTGACTCAAGTGCTTCCCTTGCATGCTCTGGCGCTATGGCTGGTGCGTTCACCCGACTGTTGTCTGTGGTATAAGTGCACTTAATCTTGGCTCGCATCGCTGTATACGCGGTGAATGCATAACCCTCATGTGCGTCTTTTGCGGCTTCGGTGTTGGGAATGCTTATTCCTGGAGGCGTAGGTGAGGGGATCCTGCAGGTGCGCTGGTGAGGGAGTATTTTGAGTCGACTCGGAACACACCTTCTTTCTCTCTCTCCAACAACGCCCCATTCCTGCAGGTGTAGCTGAGGGAATCGGCACTGGTGAGAGGGAATATGCGCAGAGCACGAATGGAGGAAAGGACAAGCGAGCTGCTGAGGGAAGCTCCTTCGGTGGCGAGGGAATCTGCACAGACCAGACTCCCGCCCCCTCTCTCCGCACTCCCCCTTCCCAATCCCCCAGGTGTTGCTGGGGGAATGCTTTTGAGTCAACTCAAAAGCAGACCCTTCCCAATCCCCCAGGTGTTGCCGGGGGAATCGGCGCAGAGCACGAGTGGAGCAAAGGACAAGCGAGCTGCTGAAGGAAGCTGCATCGGTGGTGGTGAGGCAATCTGCACAGACTTCCCTCCCTCTCTCTGCACTCCCCCTTTTTTTTTCACAATCTCCCCCTAGACGTTGCTGAGGGAGTCGGCAGAGGACCAGTGGAGGTGACCATGACATGGACTCGGAATCAAAGTCGCCACCACGTGGGAGATTTTCCTCTCCCTTTTCCCCTCTCCACTTATCCCCATCCCCCCAGGCGTTGCTGAGGGAATCGGCAGAGGACCAGTGGAGGTGACTATTACCTGGACTCGGACTCAAAGTCACCTCACCTCCACGTGGGAGATGTTCCTCTCCTTTTCCCCTCTCCATTTCCCCCCCATCCCCCCATCCCCCCATCCCCCCAGGTGTTGCTGCGGGAATCAGCGCAGAGCACGAGTGGAGCAAAGGACAAGCGAGCCGCAGTGATTCTAGTGCCGCCCGATTTCTGCCTGCGGCTGCTGGACGTGGTGGCGGACCACCTGCCCAGGCGGCCGGGAGAGGGGGAAGGGGAGGGGGACGATGACGCCTGGCAGGAGGAGTTTACCAACAGTGGGGACTATGCTCAATATAGAAGCAGACTGGTGAGTGTAGTGCAGGCTGGGGAGGCTTGTAACGAGTTTAGGGCGTCTGAGGGGTGAGTTTGTGCCCGATTTCTGCCTGCAGCTGCTGGGCGTGGTGGCGGGTCACCTGCCCAGGCGGCCGGGGGAGGGCGAGGGGGAGGGGGAGGGGGAGGGGGAGGACAGGGAGGGGTGGCAGGAGGAGTTCACCAGCAGCGGGGACTATACGCAGTACAGGAGCCGACTGGTGAGTCTAGTGCAGGCTGGGGAGGCTTGTAACGAGTATGGGGTGGGGGAAAGGGTCAGGCTGTGTTGGATTTCTGTCTGAGGCTGGTAGATGTGGTTGGGGATCGCCTGCCCAGGCGGCTGGGGGAGGGGGAGGAGGGGGAGGGGTGGCAGGAGGAGTTTTCCAACAGTGGGCGCAGTACAAGAGCAGACTGGTGAGTGTAGCGCAGGGAGTGTTTGAACATTGCGATGAGTGCTGGTAAATGGGATGTATTTTGGGTGCAGTACTGGATTTGCGTCATTATTCAAATCAAGTGCACATGTAATGTAAGTTGTGAGTCTGCCTTCCCTCCCCTGTTCTTTATTCTCACCCTTCTGATGGAGGTGATTTGTCTGGTGACCCAACAGCAGCAGCCGCTCATAGCAACCTCTGGATATAGTCACCAGTCGGTGCTGCGCCCTCTGTCCTCTATTCCCTCCTCCTCACCCTCCCTTCCTCCCTCCTTCCCAACTTCCCACCTCCCCACCCCCCCCTTTCAGATGGAGGTGATTTGTCTGGTGACCCAGCAGCAGCCGCCGCTCATAGGCCCCTCCCTCCCTCCCTCCCTCCCTCCTTTTTTCCCCCTCCTTCCCTCCCTCCCCTCTCCCTCCTCCCCCCTTCCTTCCTCCCCCCATCCGGTCCCTCCCTGCTCCCCCTTCCCCTTGCTCCCCCCCCACCCCCCCCCCTTTTCAGATGGAGGTGATTCGCCTGGTGACGCAGCAGCAGCCGCTGATAGCAGCATCCAAGGTGGCCTCGCGGATCGAAGCGGCAGTTGGTGCCACCTCTGCCCCACCCTCACCCAAGGCAAGTGTTGGGAGATATGACATACGAATCATGCAATATGAGGTATGGGCATGGGTAATAGGCACGAGACAGCAGCCTCCAAAGTGACCTCACGGATAGAGGCACCAGTTGGTGCTGCCACCACTGCCCCAACCACGCCCAAAGGCAAGTCATGGGATATGAGACTAAGTAGAGAAATACGCGTACAGCGTATTATACGCAAGCGTATTATACGCTAGCGTATATACGCTGTACGCTTCATTATGGGATTGGATACGCTAGGAAATACCCTCTGGCGGGCAGGTATAAAAACAACTCGGGCAGGGGTAAAAAAAACCTGTTTGGGGAGGGAAGAGGGGGGGTTCAGAGCACCAAATTCCCCCCACCAAATGTGGCATCATTTAGCATGGTAATAAATAAATAGTTCAAGCCACCAAGGGCATGTCAAGGGTTCCAAACTCCAACAACCAGCCAACCACCCATCTCAGGTAAGCCTCCCCCAAACCGCCCGCCTAACCCTCTCCTGCTCTGCTCTACAGGTACTCGTCCAGCAGCTCCTCATCTTCGCCCTCCTCATCCTCCTCCTCCCGATCCACCCTGTACCCCGCAGGGACGGGGGCGTCCGGGATGTTACCGGACACCACCCCCGCCCCCTCGTCGGCCATGTGCCAGTTGTGCACAACCTTCCAGTTGTGCGCAACGTAAACCAGATCCTTGCACTTTTCTGAACCCAGCCGGTTGCGTCGGGCGGTGTGGACAGTATCCCACACCGCCCAGTTGTGCTCGCAGCTGGATGCGGACACCGGCTGAGTTGGCACACGGCAAGCAAGGGCCATGAGCAAGGGGTGGTCAGTGCCGTGCCACTCCCACCACGCCTCCATGGAATAACTTCCTTCCTTCACCAACTTCCGGTCACTGATGGCCTCAGCCGTGCCGAAGCTGCCCCTCAACTTCAGAAAGGTGGCCAACCCTTCCTGCAGGAGGAGTGTGGCACGCTTGGGCAGGCCATCCCTCTGGGGAATCATCACCCCGCCATAGTGGCGGGCAATGAAAGCTTTGAACACATCGGTGCACTCCGTGTCCGGCCCAAAAATCCGTTCCTCCTGGTTGACCGGGTTAAGAATCCGCCCGACCACGTGCAGTGGGCAAGCCATACTCTCATCCCAACGCCGCTTCACAATCTCATTGACGCCTTTCTTGTCTCCCGCACTCAGCACCCCATCCCCCTCCTCCTTCAGCAGTTCTGCCACATTCACAGTGAGCTCAAGCATCAGCTCATAGATGCGGCCCATCATCCCTTTCGTTGCCGAATCCGTCGCCCTCATGGCCTTGAACGGGAGCAGGAGCAGCCTCTTGAAGAGCTCAGCCGCTGGCCACCAGTCCTTATCCATGATCTGGTCGTGGAATGTCTCTGCAGCTGCCTTCTTTGGGCCCACCGCCCACTCCGCCTTCCATGCATCGCAGAGCACCATGGTCACCAGCGTTGACCGCAACTCCACCAGGCGGGACACAGCAATGTGCTGCGTCCCAAACCTGGTCCCCGCCGGCCTCAGCATCTGCAGCCCCTTCCCTCCGTCCACACCCCTGAGATACTGTCGGGTCCAATGGTGGCTGCGGGTGTAGTTGATGAGCTCGCTCGCCCGCCCCACTACCTCCTTGGCCCAAGCCTGCCGTCCCACATCCTCCATAAGGAGGTCGAGCATGTGCGTCGCACACGGCACATGCTCGATGCGCGGATTCTCTGCAATGAGGAGCCGGCAGGCGCTGTGGTAGTTGCTGCCGCCATCGGTGCAGAATGCCACGATGTTCTCGACCCCAACCTTTTGCAGGATGGGCCGGAGGAGCCGGGCGATGTATCCCCCGGTCTTTTTCTCCATCTTGCAGTCAATACTCTCGACGAACACTGCGCCGGTGTCATTGACCAGCATCACATTCGCCTGCGGCCTGCCACACTTGTCGGTCATCATGTCGCTGGCAATCGTCACGCCGTGGCGCTTCCAGCTCGACATGACGCCCGTCAATCCCTCGTCAATCCGCTTGCGGCATAGCTGCAAGCCGGCACCACCCACGTAGTCGCGCTTTGGAGGCACATAGCTGGTCCCCGCACGCGCGATGGACCGGACGGCGTTGCGCCAAAGCGGGTGGTCGGCATGGCGCTCGGGAAGGCGGAGGCCGGCAAAGAGGAGGCAAATAGCCTCGTCCGCCGCCGCCTTGGCCGCTTGGGCGTCATCGGATAGGTAATCGGTGATCTTCCGCTTTCCCCGACCACTAACGGCGTCGAGGGCCGACTCCTCCGCCCTATGCGCCTCCTCCCTCGCGAGCACTTTGGCGGTTTGGAACGCGCGGACGGCAGCCTGCTCCTCCTTCCCTACCTCCTCGCATTTCCGAACCTCGCGCCTACGCATACCATCCCAACTAGTGATGTGCTGTGCGCAGCGGTAGGCCGTCCCGGTAAAGGATACGGGGCAGTACTTGCACCAATACTTTTGCTGCTTGCCGTGCTCCTTATGCTTAAACTTGAAATGCTTAAAGATAGCGTGGGTGGAGTTCTCCAGGAGCTCGTCAGAGGAAGACGCAGCACAGGAGGTTCCCGCGTCGGTTCCGTGGGAACCAGGACTAGGTGGAGGGTTCGACATAGCAACAGTCGCTAAAAAACCAGCTAGCTAGTCGCGCTAGCTTGGAAGAAGAAATGACTGAAGTTAGCGCGCCAGTTTACTTGTACCCTGATTTCGTCGTAGGAGTGAACTGCGCTGAACCCTGCTGGAGTAGAGTAGAGAGGGAGAGGAAGGAGATTTCTTTGGGTGTTGTTTGGAAGTCGCAGATTGGGTGGGATGCTGTGCGGTTGGGAGGGGCGAAGGGGTTGGGTTGACGATTTGAAAAGCCAAATTTCGGTTTGCGACATGGCGAAATCCCTGTGGGGTTTCGTCATGTCGCGTATTTGTCGCATCGTTTTTTGCGTATTTCTTGCCGGGCTGCCCGCCAAGAAATACGCTAGCGTATTGCGTACTTAGCTAGCGTACAGCGTATTCGTATTATACGCTAGCGTATGTACGCAATACGCTAGGCTGCCCAAGCGTATTTCTCCACTTAGATATGAGATATGAGATAAGGGGCATGGGCCGTGTGGCATGTGGCATGTGATGGCTGCTGCTGGGCACCTTGATATCACACAGAAGCCCATTGAATGCCCATGAACAAGCAAACACTGTATTCCTTCCCACATCACAGGCAGCGGCAATGTTGGAGGGAGCTCTCGTGGTGGAAAACGCTGTCGTTGCTGCTCCTATCCCGTGTTTTGAGTCCCCCAAATCTCACAAGCGCTCTCATTAAAACAAGCACCCTACCCCTGTTATCAAGTAGTGGTTGTGTTGGAGGGGGCTCGCATTCAGAGGAGATCCCACATCCGTGCATGATTTTCGTTCAACCAGATTTTTGAGTCGACTCAAAAATCATTTTCGTTCAACCAAACACCCTACCCCCTGCTGCCATCAGGTGGTGGCAGTGTTGGAGGGGGCGCGCATGCTGGAGGATGGTGTCATGGCTGCTGCACCCGATACTGTGATGGCACGTGAGATCACACATACATGTGCATGATTCTCCCACAACCATACGCCTTACCCCCTCCCCCGCCCCCAGGTAGTGGCAGTGTTGGAGGGAGCGCGCATGCTGGAGGATGCTGTCATGGCTGCTGTGCCCGATGCTGTGATGGCAGCAGCCGCTGCTCACTCCACCAACCCGGCTATTCTTGCAGACGACCTGGGGCTCATTGTAGAAGGTGAGAGGTCTAATCGTTTGGAAGTATGTCGATTGGAGGGGCCGGGTTGTGCCCGATGCTGTGATGGCAGCAGCTGCTGCTCACTCCACCAACCCTGCCATTCTTGCAGACGATCTGGGGCTCATTGTAAAAGGTGAGAGGCCTAATCGCTTGGAAGTATGTCGATTGGAGGGGCCAGGTTGTGCCCGATGCTGTGATGGCAGCAGCTGCTGCTCACTCCACCAACCCTGCCATTCTTGCAGACGACCTGGGGCTCATTGTAAAAGGTGAGAGGCCTAATCGCTCGGAAGTATGTCGATTGGAGGGGCCGGGTTGTGCCCGATGCTGTGATGGCAGCAGCTGCTGCTCACTCCACCAACCCTGCCATTTAGCAGGTGGCCTGGGGCTCATTGTAGAGGGTGGGGTGGCTTGTAACGAGTACAAGAGATTATCCGAAGTCAAATTTCCTGTGTGACAATGTTCAACAGCGCAACAGTCCTTGACACATCCTACTGTCCCCTACGTGGCTTTCCTTCTCTCCCGTTGCTGTTTGCCATTCCCAGGTGTGTTGCAGCGTCTGCTGTGCGTGCAGTGGAGCGACCCCGTGTTGATAGAGCTGCACTCGCACCTGCTCGATGCCCTGGGGCCCTTCCTCAAGCACTCCCCGCCCGCTGCTGCCCTCGTCATGCCCAAACTGTTCGAGCTGCTCGGTGCTCTTCCGCCCACTCCACTGGTAAGTTCTTATCCGCCCAAATTCTCTAGATACTTGCTTGTCCCTGGGTCCCTTCGTCAAGCACTCCCCGCCCCCTGCTGCCCTCGTCGTGCCCAAGCTTCTTGAGCTGCTGGGTTCCCTGCCGCCCACTCCTCTGGTGAGTTCTCATCTGCCCATTTCGCTAGTTGCAATTCTGCTAGTTGCAATCTCGCTAGTTGCATTCTGCTAGTTGCGATTTCGCTAGTTGCAATTTCGCTAGTTGCTTGTCCCTGGGTCCCTTCTTCAAGCACTCCCCGCCAGCTGGCAGCTGCTGCCCTCGTCATGCCCAAGATTTTTCAGCTTGTAGGTTCCCTGCTGCCCACTCCTCTGGTAAGCTTTTTCCTGTCGGGCACGGTGCACCCCACTACCTGCCTTCCCAAACCCCCAATTCTCCACATGCTAGTGTTGGAAGCCCATACCTTGGCAGACACTTGATAGAGCCAATCACTGGCTCATGATGCATGGGCTGGGCGCATCTGGTTGTGACTCGCAGTGGCGTGAGGCGTCTTAAGGCACACTGTAAAGCTCTGCATTCTTAAACCCTCTTCGATCCAGGGCGTGGAGCCGATGCTGCGACCGGAGCGCAGTGAGGACCGCCTGCCCCGCCTGCAAGTGTGCACGTCAATTCTGAGAGTGGCACGTTCTGCTGATGTGGCCCTCGTCCCCATGCTCAAGGTGCGTGCTGGTGTGTGTTTTCATGCAGTGAGGGCCGCCTGCCCCACCTGCCTCGCCTGCCTCGTTTGCAAGTGTGCACATCCCTTTTTAAAGTGGCACACGCATGCTGCTGATGCCTCCCTCGTCCCCATGCTCAAGGTGCGTGATGGTCCTAGTTCCCATGGTTGCATGCTGCCACCTCACCTCCATGCAGTGAGGACCGCCTGCTGTGCCTGCAAGTGTGCACGTGCCTCCTCAGAGTGGCACTCGCTGCTGATGTGGCCCTCGTCTCCATTCTTGCGGCGCTAGGGGCACCAACGAAGGCTAGTCCCTCCACTCTCTCCCCTCGTGTTCCCCCCCCTCCCCTCCCCCTCCCCCTCCCCCTCCCCCCCCCGCGCTCCCCTCTGGATCATGGAAGATCAGGTGATGGCTGTTCAACAGGAGCAGCAGGCGGCAGTGCAGCGCGTGCAGCAGAATGACTTTTGAGTCGACTCAAAAGTCACGGCTGTTCAACAGGAGCAGCAGGCAGCAGTGCAGCGCGTGCAGCAGAATCAGCCAGGGGCAATTTCATGAGGCACGTCACAACTCGATTGCCTTCTCCACTCCCGTTCCTGCTCCCGTACCCTTCCTCTCTCCCCCCCCTCCCCACACAGGCGATGGTATGACAAGTGATGGCCATTCGGCAGCAGCAGCAGGCGCTTGGGGCGCCTCAGAAGGCTAATCCCCCCTCTCGTCCCCCTCGTGCCCCTCGTGCCCCCGTTTTGAGGCGCCTCAAAACTAGACTCCTATCACGCGGTTTTTAATCCCCCCTCTCGTCCCCCTCGTGCTCCCTCTCCCCAGGCGATGGTAGATCAGGTGATGGCCATTCGGCAGCAGCAGCAAGCGGCAGTGCAGCGTGTGCAGCAGAACCAGCCAGGCGCGGTGCTGCATGGGGAAATCATTCTGCTCGCTGAGGCGCTGCTGCTCGTGGCCGCTGCTGCAGGGTGAGTGAGTGAGGGAAGGGGTGAGGGGGTGAGGGAGAGTGTGAGGGAGGGAGTGAGTGAGGGAGCGACTAGAAACCAGCGCAGGGGGTGCAGCAAGCCCAGTGCTGCATGTCTGGCTGAAGCACTGCTGCGGAGTGAGTGAGTTGTGAGTGAGTGAGTGAGTGAGTGCTGCATGGCTGGCTGAAGCACTGCTGCTCGTGGTTGCTGCTGCGGGGTGAGCGAGTTAGTGAGTGCTTGAGTGAGGAAGTGAGTAAGCGAGTTATCCATTCTCTCCTCTTCTCCTGTCTACACTCTAGTGGCAGAGCAGCCCCAGTGAAGAGGAGCACTGCTGCCCCAGAGCAGCCCCAGTGCTCTAGTGGCTCCTCGCCCCCATCCGCGCCCAATGAACGGACGCCACGTGGCAGAACCGCTACCTGTCCTCCCCAGCCGCCCTAGCGTCGCTGCTGCTGCACGCCCCCGGGTTGGGGTCGCAGGAGGAGGCAGACTGCTGGACCGTGTACCACTCCACCATGCTGCTGGAACGAGCACTCGCTCTTTCATAGCACTCCTCTCTCCTCTCCCCTCTCCCTCCCTCCCATCGCACTCCCCTCCCCTCCCCTCCCCTCCCCTCCCCTCCCCTCCCCTCCCCTCCCCTCCCCTCCCCTCATCTCCTTTCCTGCCAGAACAGACCCAGTGAGGAGGCAGCGGTTGTTGAATGGCTCCTCGCCCCCATCCGCGCTCAATGGACGGATGCCACGTGGCAGAACCGCTACCTGTCCTCCCCGGCAGCTCTGGCGGCCCTGCTGCTACACACCCCCGGGTCGGGATCCCAGGAGGAGGCAGACTGCTGGACCGTGTACCACACCACCATGCTGCTCGAGCGGATTATGAGACGTGCTGCTGCCGGGGGGGGGAGTGCCGGAGGGGGAGGGGGAGGGGGAACGGGAGGGGGAGGGGGTGTGGTGGCGGCTGCTACGCCGCCTCCTTCTCCTGGGACGGGCAAGGCGGATGGGGCTGGGGAAGGTGGTACTGGGGGAGGGGTGTCGCATTGTGTGAGCCCGCACCTGCACTGGATCGTGCCGCCAATGCTGAGAGTAAGAGAGGGGGGAAGAGTGGAAGGCTAGAGTCAGTGTGGTGAAAGTAGCACAGAAGTCTGTTATGGACATGGAGGGAGGGTATTTCATTGTTTGAGCCCCCACCTGCCCTGGATCGTGCCGCCAATGCTCAGAGTAAGGGGAGGGTTGGTAGAAAAGCAGGGGTGTCGCATCACTTGGCTGGATGAGGGGAATCCCGTTTGATAGCCCTTGGTTGGAAGATGACTGATGGTTATGCCTGTTCTGTCTTCCCTTTGTATCTCCATTCGTCACCCGTGAAATTCACCCCGCCCTTCTCCCTTCCCCCTTCCCCCTTCCCCCTTTACCCCTTCCCCCTTCCCCCTTCCCCCTTCCCCCTTTACCCCTTCCCCCTTCCCCCTTCCCTCTTTCCCCCTTTCCCCCTTCCCCCTCCCCGCTCCCCCCTCCCCACCCCCCGCCTGCCTTCCTCTTATCAAAGTGCGTCTCGTCACTTTTTCTGGCAACCGCAACCGCTGCCTCCTCTGTTGACCTCCACCCACAACAACACTCCTCCCCCCCCCCGTTCCCCTCTCCCCTCCCCCTTCCCCCCCTCTCAGCTGCTGCACTGCATTCACTCGCTCTGGTCCCCTCAAGTGCTCGCCTCGCTCCCCCCCGCCCTCGCGCCTGCGCTGCTGGTGGGGCAGCAGGAAAAGGCAGCAGTGTTGGGCCAGGCAGGCGCAGCAGGCAAGCAGGAAGGGGTGCCGCTGCTGGTGGGGGGAAGCGGGGGAGGGTGGGGAGAAGGGGGAGGGGGGATGGGGGGAGGTGGGGGTGAGAAGCAGCGCGAGGCTGCGGCTTTGGCTATAAGGCGGAATTGGTTGAAGTGTGTGCGGGATAACTGGTGAGTGTGGGGAATAACTAGGTGAGTGTGAGGGAAAACAGGTGGGTGTGAGGGATAACAGGCGAGTGTAATGTAAATGAGTGCTTGTGACTAATAGCTGCAATGTGATCCCCACAATTGCCCGCCTGGCAGGTCCTCACTCTTTCTTTCCCCCATTCTGTCTCCACCCTTTTCCTCCCCTCCCTTCCCCCAACAGCTATGGCTTCCTTGGTATGGCAGCAGCAAACGCCCCAGCAGCCTTCTTCTCCCTTCCTGAACCTGCAGTCCCGAACCTGAAATCCCTAGGCTCGGTCACACCCCAGCAGCAGCAGTTCGTCTTAGAGGTTCGGGCCGCACTTGCCGATTCCGTGGCTAGCATGGAGGCTCGGCACCTGCGCCTGCTGCAGAAGCTCGTCCTGCTCCCATTGGTCAAGGCCTGCCCGCCGAACCTCTGGCCGCTCTGGCTCGGCACGCTCCTGCCGCCGATCCTGATCCACTGCGACCAATGGCTGACTGCCACGTGGCAGAGGTTCCTCCAAGAAGGGCTGGCGGGGGTAGGGGAAGCAGGGGGAGGGGCAGGGGGAAAAGCAGATGGTTCTAGTGGAGGGAACGTGGGGGGTGAGAGGGAGAGGGAGAGGAGGGGGGCGTTGAAGGACGAGTTGTTTCAGGAGAAAATCCTAAGGGACCTCACCAGAGAGACTTGCAGCCTCCTGGCGCTCTTCCCGGTGCTGCCCCAGTCGTCCTCGTTACAAGCAGCCTCGATTCAAGCCACTGCTTCAGCGCTAATTATGGCTGGTGTGACTGGCAGCAGTGTTGCTGCTGCTGGTGGTGCTGGTGCTGCTGGTGATGAGAGGATGGACGTGCATTCTGTATCCAGCGCTGCTAACAGCTTGCTGCAGTAAGTGTGATGCAGTGAGCGTGATGCAGTAAGTGTGATGCAGTGAGCGTGATGCAGTAAGTGTGATGCAGTAAGTGTGATGCAGTACATGTGATGCAGTACGTGTGATGCAGTACGTGTGATGCAGTGAGTGTGATGCAGTAAGTGTGATGCAGTAAGTGTGATGCAGTGAGTGTGATGCAGTAAGTGTGATGCAGTGAGTGTTATGCAGTAGTGTGATGCGGTAAGTGTGATGCAGTAAGTGTGATGCAGTAAGTGTGAATCGTGATGCAGTAAGTGTGAATCGTGATGGAGTAAGTGTGAATCGTGCTGCAGCAAGTGTGAATCGTGATGCAGTAAGTGTGATGCAGTAAGTGTGATGCAGTGAGTGTGATGCAGTGAGTGTGATGCAGTAAGTGTGATGCAGTAAGTGTGATGCAGTGAGTGTGATGCAGTGAGTGTGATGCAGTAAGTGTCATGCAGTACGTGTGATGCAGTAAGTGTGATGCAGTAAGTGTGATGCAGTAAGTGTGATGCAGTAAGTGTGATGCAGTAAGTGTGATGCAGTACGTGTGATGCAGTACGTGTGATGCAGTAAGTGTGATGCAGTAAGTGTGATGCAGTACGTGTGATGCAGTACGTGTGATGCATTAAATGTGATGCAGTAAGTGTGCTGCAGTAAGTGTGATGCAGTAAGTGTGATGCTTAGTTCCTACCTACATTATTCTGCTGCGTCTTGCAGCAGTGCATACCGCTGAATGCATTTCTTGGTGTTCCTCTCTTGTTTTGCTCCATCCCTGCCTCTTTTCTGGCGCCAAGCCGTAAGCTGCCTCTGCATCAATAGACACAGAGTCATTCACATGAAGCCCTCACAGCAACGCCTCTCCTCCTTTCCTTTACCTCCGCTCCCCCCTGTCCCCCTTCCCCCCTTCTCCTCTTCCCAGCTTTCCCCCTCTCCCTTTCAGTTTCCTGTTACAACAGCATCTAGAGGCAGCAGCAGCAGCAGCAGCAGCATGCATGAGAGTCGCGACGGCTGCAGCATGGACTGGCTGGATAGCGACACCTATGACAAAGCAGTCCTCTTTCCCCCTTCCCCCCTTTCCCCCTTTCCCCCTTTCCCCCTTTCCCCCTTTCCCCCTTTCCCCCTTTCCCCCTTTCCCCCTTTCCCCCTTTCCCCCTTTCCCCCTTTCCCCCTTTCCCCCTTTCCCCCACAGCTTTCTATTGCAGCAGCACCTCGAGGCAGCAGCGGCGTGCATCAGAGTGGCAATGGCAGCCACTGATTGACCAGGCAGCGGCAGCACTCCTCCTTTCCTCTCTCTCTTCCCCCTTTTTTCCCAACTACCCTCTGCCCCCCCTCTCCCCTGCAGTTTCCTCTTACAGCAGCACCCCAAGGCAGCAGCAGCGTGCATCAGGGTGGCCATGGCAACAATGGGCTGGCCCTGGCCGGACAGTGACGCTTTTGAGTTGACTAAAAAAGAATGGGCTGGCTGGACAGTGACGCCCTTTTCTTTCATTTTTTCTCCTCCACCCTCCTTCCCTCCCCTACCTCCCTCCCTTCTGTTCCAAAACAGCTTCCTGTTACAACAGCATCCCGAGGCAGCAGCGGCGTGCATCAGAGTCGCAATGGCAGCAATGGATTGGCCCGACAGTGATGCCTCTCACAAGGCAGTCCTCTTCAACTCAGGCCTCGTCCACATGCCGGAGCTCCTCGCCGAGCCTACCGCCCAGCCTTCCGAGCCTGCCGCGCAGCTCCGGGAGATGGTCGGCCGAACCATGTTTGCAGCAGCGGTGCAGGCCCTGACTCTGGAGTCTAATGCGGGGATTCAGGCGCATATTGTGGCATTACTGAGGGATATTTACCTTCGACTGGGTCCACTAACCTCTGCACCACGAGAGGTATGGCCACTTGTAGCACTCTCCTCTTCTCTTGCAAATACCATCTTTCCTTCTACTCTCTCATAAGATCCATGCCATGCTTCCTGCGTGACAAGTCTATTTTTGAGGCGCCTCAAAAACAGACTCCTTCTTTCCTTCTACTGTCTCATAACATCCATGCCACGCTTCCTTTCTCTACTCCCTCCAGCTTCACACTTGTTTTCACACTTACATTCACACCTCCTTTCCCTCCCCACCCCTCACACTCACTCTATTTCTCCCCGTGACGGTCGTGACCTATGACATGCGCTGCCTCTTCCTTCTCCATCTCCCCCCTTTCCCAGGTCCTCCTATCTCTCTCTATTCCACCAGAGGGTCTCGCATCCTTTGAAGCTGCCCTTAAAAGCACGGGCAGCGCCAAGGAGCAGCGGGCAGCCTTCAGAACTTTGCTCACAGGAGTGGCGGGCAATCAGTTGAAAGCTTTTGCTGCCCAACGGAACCCCACCACCATTTCAAACGTCTCAGGTTGGTTTAAAAATGGTTACTTTCTTAGTTGATTAGGTGGTTTAGCAACCTCTTCCCTGTCTGGTGGTTTAATAACATGCATCCCAAAGTGGTGGTGTCCCTTACATCTTATCATCGTTTGAATGTTTTAGTTTTCACTTCTTTTGAATCGACTCAAAAGCAGTCTCTACGTTTTAGAAAGGCCTGCTAATCCTCGAGGGTGTTCTCTCCATCTATACGCCCTCCCCTTTTATAGATTTATTTTGTCTCCTACACATTCCCAAAACCTTGTCAAACCTTGTCAAAGTTCATTCTCTCCTTTGTTCCACCATCTCCAATGTTCGCTCCCTTTCCACCCCTCACTTGGTGCTTCCTGCTCATTTTCTTTAGTGCTTGCTCATCATTTCAACCTCTTTTCTGGCCTCCTACCACTCCAACATATTTTTTCCCCTCCTCACTCCCTTACGCTTTCTTTTGTCTGCCCAGGCGTGATAAGAACTGCATCTAATCCCTCAGCCACAACCACGTCGTCATCTATAGATCAATCTGGACCGTCCATCGGCCTGGCATCATTTGGTAACATGCCCTCTAACCAATAGCAGGAGATCAATCCGGGCCATTCATTCATTCACACCCGCATCCTCGAGTTCCTTATGACCCCTGGCCCGTTTTTATTTTCACACGGCAAATTTGACAGGCCAGGGGAGATGCCAAAGAGCAACTTTGGCAAACATTTTTGTAGATTAGTAGGTGTGTAACTTTTAGGAACTAGAAGTTGTAGAAGCTCAAAAAGCCCCATTTGCTTGTATTACTGTAGTTGCAGGGTTTGATTAGCAAAGAGATGACAATGCATTAAAAGAAAATCGTGATTTAGATTTTCCATTTTGTTTTGTGCGTCCGTATTTCTTTCACCATTTATAAGCTGTACAGACCTTTTGCACAGCTGCGCTCACGTGTTCGATGCTGCATGCTACCGTATCGAGGTGTCTAGTGTAGGCGTCATCCAACCGACGGAGATTTCGAGGAGATAGACGAACGGAGGGTATTGGCTGTGTTCTACAGGCATTTGACGTCGACGTCGACGTCGACATTGAGGAAGCTCCTCAAGCGACTTCTAGAGCACTGGTTACCACTCAAACCAGGTGCACTTTCCAAACCTCTCTTGGAAGCAACGCGCCAAACTGTGGAAAGCGCGAGCGAAAGGAGAGAGGAGCCAAATTGAGGCTGATGTAACGCCACACGCAAGGTGAACTCCACGATTTAGCGAACGTCAGCATTGCGTCACCTTTGCGTCAAATTTGGCAGGGAGGGAAGCGAGGGGGGTGTTTCCCTGACGTAGATGTCATCTGTACATGGACCTGTTCTGCAGGCATGTTGATGTAACTAGGTTGGGGTACCTTGTGCCAGGTTTGGACGAAATTTTGCGGGCTGACCCTCGATCCGAAGCAAAAAATCAGGCTTTCGGAAGGTGCTCTGATGTAATCTGCACTTTCGTTTTCTGCCTGCAGAACGCAGCCATTGTGTGATTGGAGTGTTTTTCGCACAGTGTGAGCGGTACATTACGGTGCCAAAATGTCAATAAACGGTTTCGAGGCAGCAAATTCAACAGCATAGAACGCATTGACACACTCTCCACAACCGCGAACGGGGCCAAAAACTCGCATCTGGTGATGATGGCGCGACGGTAATGCGGCCGCATGTTCAGGTGCTACAGTAGAAGGCTTACACGCAGCAACCAATTGCGCATCTAGCATACGAGGCATAGAAAGAGTCGTACTTACTGACGAGCCGCGAGATGAGCAGCGCAGTGGCTGTAGCGGGTCAGAATCCTATCGGAAGCGCCACGCAGACGAATCCGGATGACTCGTGGCAGAAGCTCATTCGCCAGCTGGAGGAGTGCTTCGCGGATGAGGTGAGGGGAACATGGGTGACGTCTTCTGCCTTCTCTCCCTCCCCTCCAGCCTGGGCGAGCTGAGAGGCGAGGGGCGAGGGGTGAGGGGCGAGAGGCGAGAGGCGAGGGGCGAGAGGCGAGAGGCGAGAGGCGAGAGGCGAGAGGCGAGAGGCGAGAGGCGAGAGGCGAGAGGCGAGAGGCGAGAGGCGAGAGGCGAGAGGCGAGAGGCGAGAAGCGAGAGGCGAGAGGCGAGAGGCGAGAGGCGAGAGGCGAGAGCTTAGTAGCTCCCAGAGGCCTCCCTGAATTGTTGATCCAATTGACGATCATTCCTTCCGTTTCGTACCCCTTGGATTCTCCCTCTCCGTCCGCACTTCACGGCTGCTGCTTGCTCGGGTTTCAAAAGACCACATAAAGTCATCCCATATTCTGTATCCCAAATTCCACATCCCAAATTCCACATCTCATATTCCATATGCCAAATTCCACATCCCATATTCCATATCCCAAATTCCACATCTCATATTCCGTGTCCCATATTCCACATCCCATGTTCCATATCCCAAATTCCACATCCCATATTCCATATCCCATCCTATACTCCGTTCTCCTGTGCTCTAAGGGTTAACAGATTCTCTTCCCCACCCCCTCCCTGCATCCCCAACTCCCTGCATCCTACCTCCCTGTATCCCACCTCCCTGCATCCTACCTCCCTGTATCCCACCTCCCTGCATCCCACCTCCCTGCATCCTACCTCCCTGTATCCCACCTCCCTGCATCCCACCTCCCTGCATCCCAACCTCCAGAAAGCCCCCTGGATCCTCCCTCTGCGGCCGCACTTCACGGCTGCTGCTCGGCGGGGCGACCCCTTCCTCGCCCTCCCTGCTGCCGCCCTCCCAGCCTTCGTTAAGAAGGTACCTGTCCTAACTGCGCTCAGCTACAGAACCAGCCTCGAAGAACCAAAGAGCAAACAAATAAAGAGCAGCAAAGAACAGCAAGAAAAGCAGCAAGAAGAGAACACCGAAGCAGCAATAGGAGAGAGTCAATTGCCCTGAACTTTTGAGGCGCCTCAAGGGTCAATTGCCCTGAACTTTTGAGGCGCCTCAAGGGTCAATTGCCCTGAACTTTTGAGGCGCCTCAAGGGTCAATTGCCCTGAACTTTTGAGGCGCCTCAAGGGTCAATTGCCCTGAACTTTTGAGGCGCCTCAAGGGTCAATTGCCCTGAACTTTTGAGGCGCCTCAAGGGTCAATTGCCCTGAACTTTTGAGGCGCCTCAAGGGTCAATTGCCCTGAACTTTTGAGGCGCCTCAAGGGTCAATTGCCTTGAACTTTTGAGGCGCCTCAAGGGTCAATTGCCCTGAACTTTTGAGGCGCCTCAAGGGTCAATTGCCCTGAACTTTTGAGGCGCCTCAAGGGTCAATTGCCTTGAACTTTTGAGGCGCCTCAAGGGTCAATTGCCCTGAACTTTTGAGGCGCCTCAAGGGTCAATTGCCTTGAACTTCTACCCCCTCAGGAAATGCAAGCGACGCAGATTTGCTGTCATAAGCTAGCGTTTTAAGCCACGGCATTCTCTCAGGTCACCTCTGTGTGTTCGTCCTTCAACCCTGCTGCGGCTGTGGCATGAGTCGATCTTTGAAGCGCCTCACAATTCGAACCCCCCCACCCCACCCCACCCCACTCCTGCTCTGCTCCCCCTCTGCCAACCCCCCCCGCCTCTCTTCGTCCAGGTCTCCTCTACGTGTTTGTCCATCGACCCCGCATGAGGCAGCAACCCTGCTGCTGCTGCCGTGGCATGTGTGCGGGCTGGCAGCAGTGACCCGATCGCAGAAGCTAGAGCTGGCAGCTGCTGCAGCTGCTGATAATTCGTATTCCCCCATCCCCCCCCCCTCCTCCCTTCCCGCAGGTCGCCTCTGCCTGTTCGTCTACCGACCCTGCGTGTGACACCAACCCTGCTGCTGCTGCCGGTGCAGTGCAGCTGCTGATATATAATTCTTCCCCCTCCCTCCCTCCTCCCCTCCGTACCTGTCTTCCCGCAGGTCGCCTCTGCCTGTTCGTTCATCGACCCTGCGTGTGACACCAACCTCGCTGCTGCTGTGCCACTCTTGCTTGCAGCAGTGTCCCGATCGCAGAAGCTGGAACTAGCAGCAGCTGCTGCTACTGCTGCTGCAGACGTAGCAGGTGCGGCTGCTGGTGCAGGAGCCTTACCACTGCAGGGGCATGGGGTTGTGGGGACAGAAGGGAGAGAAGTGGAAGGAGGGAGAGAAGTGGAAGGAGGGAGAGGGTTCGGAGAGGGAAAGGGGTTAAGAGAAGGGATGGGAGTGGATGAGTCGAGGGAGGGAGAGGCACGTGGGGGCCTTCCTTGCTCGAGTTTCTGGGTGAGGCGGCGGGAAGAAGCTTCTGCGAAGGTTCTTCAGGAGCTGCTGGTGGGGATGTCTGCTGGAAAAAGGGCTGCAGAAGTGGGCGGGGGCGGGGCAGCGGGAGGGGGCGGGGGAGAGGTGGGAGGGGGAGGGGTGGGAGGGGGAGGGGGAGAGGTGGGAGGGGGAGGGGTGGGAGAGGGAAGGGGAGAGGTGGGAGGAACAGTAGGAGCAGGAGGAGCAGGAGGAGCAGGAGGAGCAGGAGGAGCAGGAGGAGCAGTGGTGGCAAGGGACGAGGGTGAAAGGGGTGGAGATGGAAAATGTGCGAAGGAGAGCGAAAGAGCAGCTGAAGCTGCTGCTGGGAAGACGGAGGAGGGTGCAGAGGAGTCAGGGGGAGGGGGGGCAGCTTCAGGCCGCAAGGATGGAGAAGGGCATGGCACAGGTGCTACAGCTGCAGGCAGCAAAGCGGAAGGACAGGGAGGACAGGGAGGACAGGGAAGACAGGGAGGACAGGTAGGAATGCTGGAAGGAAAGGAGCGGGTGGAAAGAGCAGGGGCGATGGCGCATGAGGGTGGGGAGAGGCGTGTGTCCATGGTGATCGTTCCGTGTCCCTCGTGGCGGCAGCAGCAGCAGCAGCAGCAGCAGAGTAGCCACCAGGTGCCTCGGACGATGAGTGTGGCTGTAAAGAAGGACGAGTACATTCTGGACCGGATAGCTGAGGTGCTTGTAACGAGCTGGTCCGAGGGCGAGAGCAGCAATGGGATGGATGGAAGCAGCAGCCTGCACACGGCCAACAGCGACAGCAGAGATTGCCGTAGGAGGGAAAGCAGCAGGAAGAGCAGAGGGATGGCTTGTGCGAATGCTGGGTCACTTCTCATATCCAAGTGAGTGACGTCAAACATCCATCCATCCATCCATCCATCCATCCATCCATCCATCCATCCATCCATCCATCCATCCATCCATCCATCCATCCATCCATCCATCCATCCATCCATCCATCCATCCATCCATCCATCCATCCATCCATCCATCCATCCATCCATCCATCCATCCATCCATCCATCCATCCATCCATCCATCCATCCATCCATCCATCCATCCATCCATCCATCCATGCATCTCTTTCCTTGCTAATTTTGTCCTCCCATTAACCCCTCTCCCCGCGCCCGCCCCACTTCCCCCCATGAGGTTGTCGCACAAGCAGTTGTATTTTGAGTTTTGAGTCGACTCAAAATACGCCCGCCCCACGTGATAGAAGTCTAGTTTTGAGGCGTCTCAAAACTCAAAATACGCCCGCCCCACTTCCCTCCATCAGGTTGTTGCACAAGCATCATCTCCACATGCGCCTCCTCTCGCTCCTCCTGCCCAATCTCTCACCTCTACAGTCAGCAAACGTGGAAAAAGAGCCGTCACCATCACCATCACCAAGTGCCACAGTTTCTAAAAATGGCAGCCAGCTGGCAGTGAACAGCACAGCGACGTGGCTGGCAGGATACCAGGTGCGAGGACCAGCAGTGGTGGCGGTGGTTGAAGCATCATGGAGCGACGGGCGGAGAGGGGAGATGGAGGACGAGGGGGTGGTGGCATGGGACGTGTACAGGCGTCTATTATCCCGCCACCCCAGGGGCATGTATCAGCTCAGCCTGGACGCCCCTCTCCTGGCCGCCCTGCCGCTCTCCTTCTCCTCCTCCTCCCTGTGGCGTGGCAAGCACCCCAAGTCCTTGCTCCTCGAGCTCTGCATCATCCAGCGGGCCATCGACCCCACGCCGATCAAGGCCCTCTCGTGGATGTGCCCCAATGCCCACGGGTCAGGGAACCCGCCGTTGGCGGTTTTAGATCCTGTGTTCGATCAGCAGTCGGAGCTGGAGGAAAAGGAGCAGCAGAGAGAGTGCAGTGAGCGCTGTTGCTGCTGCCGGAAGTCAATGCAGCTGGCGGTGGGTGACCCTTTGTTCGAGTTCCTATCGCCCACAGGCGATGCCATTCAGGCAAACTCAGGCACTGCAACAGCCGCCCCTAGTGATGCTAGTGGCAGCAGCACCAGCAGAGCTACGGGTGGCAGTGGGGGGTTCAAATGCCGGGTTACGATAAGCAGGGGTCCCTCTGCCCCTCCCTTAGTCTGCGTCTCTCGGCGCCGCTACGCTGCTCGCATGGATGCCGTGCATGCTGCTTGCCTGGAGGCGCTGAGAGAGATTCAGAGAGAGTATGAGGAGGGTTGGGGGAAAGTGGTGGATCCCTGGGGGGTGTGGGGGGGAGTGGAGAGAGGAGGGGGTGGAGGAGGAGGAGGGGAGGGGGACGCGGTGGGAGAGGGAGCAGCAGGAGGAGAAGCAGGAGAAGAAGTGGTAGGGGCGGAAGGGGTACCGATGGAAATCTGCACGGAAGAGGGGAAGGGAGGGGGCGGAGAGGAGCGGCATGAGAAGGGAAGAGCGGAGAAAGATGGGAAGGGAAGAACAGAGGAGGAGGAAGAGGAGGAGGAGGAGGAGGAGGACGATGGGACACTGGCTAGGAAGCGATTGAAGGATGTTGCTGCTGAAGGTTCGTCTCCTGCTACAGAGTCTGCTGCTGAAGTTGCCGGCGCCGTGGCACCGCCAACAGAAGCAGCACCAGCAGCCGCCTCGCCCTCACCCTCCTCCTCCCCCACATCCCCTGCGCTCGGCTGCCTGGTGTCCATCGCCTATCGAGTCACTCTCCCAAGGACCCCGAGGAGCGACACCCAGCTGTGCAGCCAACTGCTTAGCAAACCAAACAGTCACTGTGCAAAGTCACTTTCCAAACCAGGGGCTTCTGGATCAATGGAGACACCCCTAAGTGCGGCAGACGTTTGCTTGGAGAGCAAGGATTCGTTCGAGTTTGAGTTTGGCCGCGGCTGTGTTGACGAGCGGATCGAGGCTCTGATTGGCCGCATGCTGCCAGGTCAGACTGCTGACGTCAGCATTCCGACCAGAGGGCCTCTGCCTCCCTTTCCTGCATTGGAGGCCATTCAGCCTGCTGCGGTGGCAGGTGAGGCAGTGATGGGGGTTTGAGTGGGCCTGAGAGCCTGTGGTTGGTGGGGTGTATGGGGTGCTTATCATGGTGTGAGCAAGGGCCCCTTCTGGCCTTCCCTTCCCGGGAGGCTGAAGGGCATTCAGCCTGCTGCGGCAGGGGAGGCAGTGATGATGGGGGCTGTGGTTGGTGGGGTGTGGGGGTTCTATGGTTTGTGCAAGGACCCCTACCGTTTCTCCCTTTCCTGCATTGGAGGCGATTCAGCCTGCTGCGGGGGCAGGTGAGGCGCTGACGGGGGGTTAGTGGGCCTCTCAGAGGCTGTGGCTGGTGTGGTGTATTGGGTGCTTATCATGGTGTGTACAAGGGCCAATTTTAAGTGTAAAATCACATTGTCTATCCTACTTGCAAAACCTACTCCCTTGCACTGCTGTTCACTGAGACTAAGCCTGGGGGTCCGTCCGTATCAGCAGCAGAGGAGGAGGATCGCATCGATGCTGCCAGTAACGTGAACCATGTGTTATGTGGTGACTTTTTAGTCGACTCAAAAGTCACCTTGGTTGAACCATGTGTTATGAGGCTATTTTTTAGTTGACTCAGGAGGAGGTTCGCATCGATGCTGAAATTAATGTCAGCGTGTCTTTGCACTTCTCCCTTTTCCTTTGCCGATGCAACCCCCATCCCAGCCCCGTCCACCCTCCACTGGCGCATCACCCTCTTCTCGGTATCAGCAGCCGAGGAGGAGGATCGCATCGATGCTGCCATCTAAAGCCTTTTCTCTCCCTCCCTCTCCCCATCCTCCATGCTCCCTCCCCCAGCCCCCGTCCACCCTCCACTGGCGCATCACCCTCCTCTCGGTATCAGCAGCCGAGGAGGAGGATCGCATCGATGCTGCCATCTAAAGCCTTTTCTCTCCCTCCCTCTCCCCATCCCCCATGCTCCCTCCCCCAGCCCCCTCCACCCTCCACTGGCGCATCACCCTCCTCTCGGTATCAGCAGCAGAGGAGGAGGATCGCATCGATGCTGCCGTCTTCTCGCCCTCCCTCTCCAAGCAGCGCCTCGCCTTTGCTGCTGCGCTCATTCGCAAGCACGCCCCAACGTTCCTGGTGAGTGGTACGCTGATGAGCTTGTTGGGGTCTATGTTTGAGGCGCCTCATAAGAAGAATCCCTCGTCAAGCAGCACCTCGCCTTTGCCGCTGCCGCTGCGCTCATTCGCAAGCACGCCTCAACATTCCTGGTGAGTCTTGACGTGTGCCAATCACCCCAGCAGTCCTGGTGCAGGGTTGAGCCTTTCCTGCCGTCTTCTCTCCCTTTCTCTCCAAGCAGCGCCTTGCCATTGCTGCTGCGCTGATTGATTGAATGGCACGCGCCCACATTCCTGATGAGCACTCCAGCACCTGCTGGGGCAGTGGATCGGGGGTCTGTGCACTGCATTGCGTCTCTTAACCTTTTGCTGGTGCATCGGACCCACCCAATCCATTTCCCCTCATCTCCAAACTCCCCTCACCACCTTTCCCCTCACCACCTTTCCCCTCACCCGCAGATAGACATTGGGTGTGGATCCGCCTCTCTCTTCGACCACCTACTATCAGCATCAGGGAACCCTGCAAGGGAGGCAGCAGCTGGGGGAGGTGCTGCTGGGGAGGGGACTATAGATAACAGGAATGCGGACGAGGGGTATGCCTTTGAGCCGACTCAAAAGAAGGGCATTGGGGATGGTGGGAGAGCGGAGGAGCGGTGTGGAGACAGGGCCAAGTCGTTTGGTCTGCCGGCAAGAATGGTGGGGTTCGACATCAGCCCCAAGGAGCTGGAGCGAGCCGGGCGGGTGAGTGTGGGGTTGGGCAGGAGGTGTTGGGACGAGGCAGCACTGCAAGAGTGGGATTGATAGCAGACCAAGTCTCGGGGTCTGCCTGCAAAAATGGTGGGGTTCGACATTAGCCCCAAGGAGCTGGTGCGGCCGGATGGGTGAGCTTGATGGGCAGGGGGGGAAGAGATGGGGGATGTGTGGACAGTGGAACAGCAGTGTGAGTGAGCTTTTAACACGAGGGTGGCTCTTTCTCTGTCTGCTGGCAAGAATGGTGGGGTTTGACACCAGCCCAAAGGAGCTGGATCGAGCTTGACACGATGGGTGAGTTAGTGTGTGGGAAGTGGAATTGGGTGGGTGGGGTGTGACAGCATAAGAGTGCCCAGTAAGATTATGTTTTTTCCGGCAAGATAGGTGGGGTGTGTGTGACAGCAGCCGCAAGGAGCTTCAACAGGCCAGTTGAGTGAGGATGGAGTGTGTGTGGGGGAGGCAGCGGCAGTACGAGCAGCAGAGGGAGAAGAAAAATGAAGGGTTTTTTCGGTTGCTCTGTAAGCGTGTGTTACCAGCAGTGTGGTTTTGAGTTGACTCAAAAGAAGAAAAAGGGAAGAAAAGGGGAAGAAAAAGGGAAGGGGTTTTTGGTTGTTCTTTAAGCGTATGTTACCAGCAGTGTCTCACAGATAAGTACCACTGGCTTTCTGCTGTGCCTGAGTTGACTATGTAGGACTAATCATCCTCCCTTCCATCCCACCCTCCTGCCCTCCTGCCCTCCTGCCCTCCTGCCCTCCTCCTGCCCTCCTGCTCTCCTGCCCTCCTGCCCTCCTGCCCTCCTGCCCTCCTGCCCTCCTTCCCTCCCGCCCTCCCGCCCTCCCGCCCTTTCTCCTCCACAACTGGTATCAGAGCCTAAGTCGCACCATCACAAGCCTGGAAGCAGCTGCACAGCCGAAAGCAGCAGCAGTGAGGCAGCACTCACCAGACGCAGCCACAGGTGCAGAACAGGTGCAGCCTGCACCAGAAACAACCTGCACTGCACCAGCAGCTTCGGCGTGGTTGGCGCTCTATGCCGGTTCCCTTGCTGACGTGGACGATCGCATGAAGGGTGCTGACGTGGCGACTTGCCTGGAGGTACGTCATTGTTGTGAACATGGAGTCTTTTTCTCAGCTATTATACCGCTATCCGTTTCATTACCGCTATCATACGAGCCCTCCTGCCCTCCTGCCCTCCCGTCTTTTTCTCAGCTATTATACCGCTATCCGTTTCATTACCGCTATCATACGAGCCCTCCTGCCCTCCTGCCCTCCCGTCTTTTTCTCAGCTATTATACCGCTATCCGTTTCATTACCGCTATCATACGAGCCCTCCTGCCCTCCTGCCCTCCCGTCTTTTTCTCAGCTATTATACCGCTATCCGTTTCATTACCGCTATCATACGAGCCCTCCTGCCCTCCTGCCCTCCCGTCTTTTTCTCAGCTATTATACCGCTATCCGTTTCATTACCTGATCTCGTTCGGCCTTTTTATTGTACATGTCCATTTGGGGCGAAGTACATTCGTTGCTATCCTCTCCATCCATCCACTATTCTCCTGTCCTTGGGATTTTTTTCTGTGCGTGTGTCCATGCATGTGCCTTTGGTATCGCTGTGACCTTATATGCATGCGCCCTTGGTATTGCTGTGACCTTCTAAGCATGCACCCTTGGTATCGCTGTGACCTTATATGCATCTGCCCTTCCATGCATGTGCGTATATGCATGCGTGCATGTGCATGTGCATGTGCATGTGCATGTGTTCTCATATCCCATCAGGTGGTAGAGCATTTGGACGAAGAGCCATTGGCAGCCTTTGGAGGTGCGGTGCTGGGAGCGCTCAGACCACGCGTTCTGCTTGTCTCCACACCTAATATCGAGTACAACACTGCCATCCGCACTGCTACCGCCGCTGCTTCTGCTAGCGCTGCTGGTGCTACTGCTACTGCAGCTGATGCTGCCACTGCTGACACTATTGCTCCTGTTGATGGTGCTAGTGCTGCTGCAACGACTGCTGCTGCTGCTGCCGCTGCTGCTGCTGCTCTTGCTATTGCTGATGTCAAGGAGCAGGAGCCACTACGGCAGCAGCCGCAAGAAGCAGCAGACCAGCCAGGAGCAGGAAAGAAGAGAAGGAAAAAGAAAAAGGGTCAGCAGGCCGGTCAGACCTCGCAGCAGAATCAGCAACAGCCGCAGCAACAGCAGCAGCAACAGCAGCAGCAGCAGCAGCAGCAGGAGTTGCGGAATTCCGATCACCGGTTCGAGTGGACTAGGAAAGAGTTTGAGGCATGGGCGAATGCACTGGCCCAAGATTATGGTTACAGCGTTACATTCAGTGGAGTCGGCGTGCTGCCAGATGCGGCGCACCTTGGGTTTGCCACGCAAATGGCTGTATTTGAAAGAGACGCCTCTAAGATGATGGGTCCAGAGCCAGAGGAGGCAGAGGGGATGGAAACAGAGGATTCCAAGTCGGTGGAAGATCCAGAGGTTGAGAAGCAGCCTTTTGAGATAGTTTGGGACCATCATGTAGCTTGTTAATACGATTGTGTTTATTTTAGAGAACTTTAATGCATAGAAATTTATTGTAAATGAATGTGCATTAATGCTCGGTGTGCAATCTCGGAGCACCTGATGCATCCTTTGGCATTACCGCCAATAGGGGCGGAGCTGTCAATACCGAGGTTTGGGACAGCAGAGCTCACAGCATCGCTGCATTTTGGCATTTCCATTTTCCACTCACACCTTCGTCCCCCATCATTGCTGCATCGCCTTTTGCATACTCGCTCCTGAGTCCCAACCAGCATTCCCAGTGCCATCACAACGACGTTGGGGCATCACAACAACACCATACATCGCACACATTCTGCATCCAGTGCAGTACGTGCCTGTGCAACGCCGGCACCTCATTTCTCCCGGGATTCCTCTAATGTTGGCTCGTACCGCCACCCTCAGGCTCGAGAACTCCGCGCTTCGTCTCTCGCGTTTCACTGGCGCAAACGTCGGCAGAAAGTCCATTCCCGCTGTTTCCCGGCCCTGGGGTCGTCAGTTCGACCCACAAAGTCCACGTGATTGGACGGCGGCGTGTCGCAATCGCGATTGGCAGAAGCGTGGCTTGGCGATAATAACCGGCGGAGATAAGCGGCGGTTTGGCGGGGCAGCAGCGATGGCTGGAACACCGGAGCCTGCAGCCGCTGCTGCTATAGCGGGGACAACTTTAGCGGGAACAGCAGCTCCCAAAGCGCCACTATCGCGTCGGATCGTGAATACAGACGAACCCGTTATTGTACAGGTCCGTTATTGACGTTCCCGTCTCCCTTATGCATCGAATTCAATGAATCTTAACGATCTCGGTTTAGAAAATTCTCAACATTAAGTCGTAGTCTGACGACTCCCAACTTTGATATCACCTCCTAAACCATGGCAGACGTTGCAGAATGAGGTGACTTTTGAGTCGACTAAAAAGTCACCTCGTTACAATGTCACACAACACAGACAGACGCATACCTTGACTTTTGAGTCGCCTCAAAAGCAGACGTTGCAGAATAACAACGGATCAACCATGCCAGATTTTTGAGGCGCCTAAAAAATAACCAGGTATACCTGCTCTTTATGGCTCTCAATCCATGCTGTTGAATCGGCCACGTCTCCCCCTCTCTCCAAATGCGTGACCTCATGACGCTCAACCCTGACGTCATGTCGCTGGGCCAGGGCGTGGTCTACCGGCTTCCCCCGGACTCAGTGTTAGCAGCAGCGCATTCAACGCAACCACCTCCCACTCTCCCCACCCCTTCTCCCCCTCTCTCCAGATGCGTGACCTCATGACTCTCAACCCTGACGTCATGTCACTGGGCCAGGGCGTGGTCTACTGGCTGCCGCCAGACTCAGTCCTGGCAGCAGCGCAGGCAGCCGTGCTCGACCCTGTGAGCAGCGGTGCAAGCATTCCCCTCCCCTGCTCATTCCCCTCTTTCCCTTCCCCCTACCATAAATGCGTCATGACTCTCAACCCTGACGTCATGTCGCTGGGCCAGGGCGTGGTGTACTGGCTTCCCCCGGATGCAGTTCTGGCAGCGGCACAGTCAACGCAACCACCTTCCACTCTCCCCACCCCTCCTTCCCCCCTTCCTTCCAGATGCGTGACCTCATGACGCTCAACCCTGACGTCATGTCGCTAGGCCAGGGCGTGGTGTACTGGCTGCCACCAGATGCAGTCTTAGCAGCGGCGCAGGCAGCCGTGCTCGACCCTGTGAGCAGCGGGTACGGCGTGGATGACGGCACCAAGGAGCTGAGAGCTGCTCTGGTGGAGAAAGTGAAGGAGGAGAATGGGCTGGTGGATTCGTCTATCATGGTCACTGCTGGGGCCAACCAGGTGAGCAACACAAACCTGGTGAGGATCGCCCATTTTGGTGGTACTGCGTGGGGGGGGGTACGGCGTGGACGATGGCACCAAGGAGCTGCGAGCAGCGCTGGTGGCGAAGGTGAAGAGGGAGAATGGGCTGGTAGATTCGTCTATCATGGTCATTGCTGGGGCTAATCAGGTGAGCAACACAACACCTGGTGAGGATCGAACATTCCAGTGGCAATGCATGGGGAAAAGCCAAGGCGTGACCCTGTGAGCAGCGGGTAGTATGGCGTGGATGATGGCACTGGGCTGCTCTGGTGGAGAAGGTGAAGGAGGAGAACAGGCTCGTGGATTCGTCTATCATGGTCACTGCTGGGGCCAACCAGGTGAGGAGGGAACGCGCCTGCCAGCCAATCATGTGAGAGCGCACATGCCATGCGAGAGCGCACATGCTTCACCCTCCTGTATCCCCAACCTCCCACCTCCACGCGTTCGTGAATGTGGCGCTGAACCTGTGTGACCCAGACGATGCTGTGGTTGACTCCAAGCCCTATCCTCCAACTCCGTATCCTCCAACTCCGTATCCTCCAACCCTGTATCCTCCAACCCCGTATCCTCCCACCCCCAGGCACTCGGGAATGTGGTGCTCACCTTCTGTGGCCTGGACGACGCAGTGTTGCTCTTCAATCCCTTCTACTTCAACCCCTCTCCTGGAACCTAACCTCCCTTTATCCCGTATCGTTTCACAACTCTACCCTCCTGCCCCCAGGCGTTCGTCAACGTGGTGCTGACCCTCTGTGACCCAGACGATGCAGTGGTGCTCTTCAAGCCCTTCTACTTCAACCACCGGATGGCCTTTCAGATGACTGGCGTCACGGACATTGTGTACGGGCCGTGCGACCCAGATACTCTGCATCCCAGCGCTGGTAAGATGGTTCTTGAGCCTCTAGTTCTCTTATTATCAGGCCCTCCTGCTTCAACCACCAGTTGGCGTTTCAGATGGCTGGCGTCACGGACTGCATCCCAGCGCTGGTAAGATGATAAAAATTAGATATCGTAATTAGCTGGAGCACAGTGCGTTTGGGTACAATCACGGGAATTCGTGTATGAATCAGCCAGAGCCGATGAACTCGGCTTTCTGATCCCCGTTCTTCCCTCTTCCCCCTCTCTTCTCTCCCTCGTGCATTGAATATGTCTTGTGCTAAAAAATCTCTTTTAGACCCCAGAAATCTATTCGCCACTCTCCCACAGTACCCTAACTTCCTTCTTTCACACTCTTTTCATTCCCCCTTTTCATTCCCCCTTCTCCACTCCCCCCCCCCCAACCCCACCTCTCCCCCCCCCCGACCACAACCCCCCCCCGACCACAACCCCCCCCCCCGACCACAACCCCCCCCCTGACCACAACCCCCCCCTGACCACAACCCCCCCCCGACCACAACCCCCCCCCCGACCACAACCCCCCCCTGACCACAACCCCCTCCCTGACCACAACCCCCCCCTGACCACAACCCCCCCCCTGACCACAACCCCCCCCCGACCACAACCCCCCCCCCGACCACAACCCCCCCCTGACCACAACCCCCTCCCTGACCACAACCCCCCCCTGACCACACCCCCCCCTGACCACACACCCCCCTGTGGCCTACCATCACCCCAACACACATCGCTCCCTGTGCTGCCACGTGGTGTGCTCAGATTGGCTGGAGGAGGCGCTTTCTGGGAAGGAGGGCAGGAAGGTTCCCAAGGTGGTAGTGATCACCAATCCCAACAACCCCACCGGGACCTACGTTCCCGAGGACTTATTGCGGGTAGGAAGAAGCATTTTCCAGGCATATAAGTGTGCAAGCAAGGTGGAGGTTATTACCAAACCCAACAACCCTACCGGGGCCTACGTTCCAGAGGACTTATTGTGGGTATGATTGTTTCTTCTCACGCATATATGTGTGTATTAGCTCACCTTCCTCGCTGGTGCAAGGTGGTGGTGATCACCAACCCCAACATCCTTACCGGAACCTATGTTCCTGAGGCCTTATTGCGGGTATGGATCTTCGTTACCCAAACATTGGGGATATTTGCTTCAGTTCTCTGCTGGAAATAAGGGGTTGTGGTCACGGATCCCAGTCGCCCTTTTCCTCTCTCTCTTCCCCCCCCCCCCCCCCGTTTTTTCGTTCCTCACTCCTTCCACTATCATCCCTCCTTCCATCGCCCTCTGCTCCCTCCTCCCTTTATCCTCGTTACAGAGAATTGCTGCTATATGCGAGAAGGCTGGCTCCTGGCTTGTGCTGGATAACACCTATGAGTATGTATGCCCTCTGCCCCATATGGTAGCACATTGATGATCAGCTATCATGCATGCATGTGCATCCTTTTGAGTCGAATCAAAGGTCACCCCAGATGGTAGCGCAAACATGATAAGCCATCATGCATGTGCATCCCTTAGCTGGTAAGGTATCTGCATGGTCATCCACTTCGCACACACATTCACCTCCAATTCACACACACCCATGCATCTGTGCCTTGGTAGGAAACGAGTTTTGAGACGGCTAAAAACACATGCACCTGTGATGTTCCCGGGAAAGAAAGCTCTTAGACTCGTAGCTAAGCGGCAAGCACCCAAATCTGTTCCGCCAGCTGCTCTCAATTTCAGTGCGCGTTCTCCGCTTTTGAGTCGACTCAAGAGCTGTCAGCGCGCGTTTTCCGCTTTTGAGTCGACTCAAGAGCTTTTTTGTGCGCGTTCTCCGCTTTTGAATCGACTCAAGAGCTTTCAGTGCGCGTTCTCCGCTTTTGAGTCGAATCAAGAGCTTTCAGTGCGCGTTCTCCACTTTTGTGTCGACTCAAGAGCTGTCAGCGCGCGTTCTCCGCTTTTGTGTCGACTCAAGAGCTTTCAGTGCGCGTTTTCCGCTTTTGAGTCGACTCAAGAGCTTTTAGTGCGCGTTCTCCGCTTTTGAATCGACTCGAGCTTTCAGTGCGCGTTCTCCGCTTTTGAGTCGACTCAAGAGCTTTCAGTGCGCGTTTTCCGCTTTTGAGTCGACTCAAGAGCTTTTAGTGCGCGTTCTCTCATCCCCTCCCTGCATTTTTGAGGCGCCTAAAAAATCCTCCCTGCATTTTACCTAACTCACATCCCTGCATGTTGCTGCTACGCTGGGCCCATGCCTTCCTCCCTCATGCTCACCCCACACCTCCCTCATGCTTACCCCATGTTTGCCCAGTCCTTGATGCATGTGTAAATTATATCCCTATTTCACATCCCTGCATGTTGCTGTACGACGGGAACCACCACGCGTGCTTGGAGGGGGCTACCTACCATGCATGCCTGATCATGCTTGCTGCTTGCCTCTACTTGATCCCATTTCCCCATGCGTCGTGCCGTGCCCCCATCACACTCCCACGTACTTCATGTACGGTGGCAAACGCCATGTGTGCTTGGAGTAGACATGATCAAAACGCGATTGCGATTTAAATCGCATCGCATGCAGGTGCGATGTTTAAAAAAGCGATGCGATTTTAAATTGCATCGCACGATTTATTCTTCCAAAAAAAAAATCGCAAATCGCATTTTACCCGCGATGTATTAAAAAATCGCATGCGATATTTAATTAAATCGCGCAATGCGATTTTAAATCGCATCGCGTTTTAACACAGAATTAAAAAACACCCCAAAAAAACAGAAAAAAAACATGGCTGCGGGGAAATTGACTCACGGGCAGTCGTAAGCTAGAGTGCAAATAACCAGTGTGGTTTCGTAATGGGTTTCAGAGTGGGTTTCAGTGCAATATCGCGCGCGATTTTTTTAAAAATCGCATATCGCATTTAAATCGCGTTTTTTAGAGCGATTAAAATGCGATTAAAATTAAATCGCGCGATATTAATTCATCGCATCGCGCGATGATTAAAAACAAAAAAACATCGCCATCGCAAAAACGCGATTAAATGCGTTGCGATGCGATGCGGTGTGATTTTTTTTGCCCATGTCTAGCTTGTAGGGCCCTCACATTTATGCATGAACGATACTTGTCTTTTGTGTTGCCACTTGTATGCAGGTTCTTCATGTACGATGGTAACCGCCATGTGTGCTTGGAGGGCGCGCACATGCATGCGTGACTCATAGCTGTCTCCCCTGTTGCCCCTTGTATGCAGGTACTTCATGTACGATGGTAACCGCCATGTGTGCATGGAGGGCCCTCACATCCTCAACATCTTCTCCTTCTCCAAAGCCTATGGCATGATGGGGTGGCGCGTCGGCTATGTGAGTCATGATGGGATGGCATGGCTATGTGAATGATGATGGGGTGGGACCATTGAATGATGTGGCAAATTGGATGCCATGCCGAGAGGTGCTCTTTCCTGTATCTCTTCGTGTGCCATGTGTGCTTGGAGGGGCTGCACATTCTCAAGTATGGCACATCTTCTTTTTCTCCTTCTCTTTCTCCAAGGCCTATGGCATGATGGGATGGTGCGTTGGCTATGTGAATGATGATGGGGTGGGACAATTGAATGATCTGACAAATTGGATGTCATGCATTCTCACAATGCCATGTGAGTCGTGCATTCTCACAATACCATGTGAGTCATGCATTCTCACAATGCCATGTGAGTCGTCCATTCTCACAATACCATGTGAGTCGTGCATTCTCACAATGCCATGTGAGTCGTCCATTCTCACAATACCATGTGAGTCATGCATTCTCACAATGCCATGTGAGTCATGCATTCTCACAATTCCATGTGAGTCGTTCATTCTCACAATACCATGTGAGTCGTCCATTCTCACAATGCCATGTGAGTCGTCCATTCTCACAATGCCATGTGAGTCGTGCATTCTCACAATGCCATGTGAGACTTGCATTCTCACAATACCATGTGAGTCGTACATTTTCTCTTCTCTCTTCTCATTTGGTATGTGAGTCATGACGGGATGACAGGTTGGCTATGTGAGTCACCGAATTCCAAAACCCCATCCCCGTCGACGCTTATCTCTTCCTATTCTCCCCTCTCCTCCTCCCCCCTCTTTTTCCCCCTGCCCTCCTCCCACACCACTCAAAACTCATGCTGCACTTCCTCCTCTCGCCTCGGCCAGTTTCTCATCAAATCTCAGACCAACGCCCCTATCTGCGTTAAACTCCACTCATTTCCCCCCCCTCTTCTTGTCTCTCTCCTTCCTCCCTGCTCTGTCCTCTCCTTCCCCCCTCTCCCACCCCCCACGACTCACTCAGATCCCCTATCCAAATTCCTTCCCTCGCCTCGGCCCCTCTCTGATCAAAGCCCAGGACACCATCCCCACCTGCGCCAATCTCATATTTTCCCCACTCCCCTTCTTCCCCCCTGCCCCTCCCCCCATCTCATCTCATCTCCCTCCCCCCCACGATGCAGATCGCTACCCCAATGCCTCCCCTCGCCTCGGCCCCTCTCTGATCAAAGCCCAGGACACCATCCCCATATACATTGATCCCCATTCATTTTCCCCTCCTCGTGTCCCCCCCATTTTCCCCCTGCTCTCCTCTCCCCCCCCCTCCCCAACCCAGATCGCATACCCCAACTCCTCCCCTCGCCTCGGCCCCTCTCTGATCAAAGCCCAGGACACCATCCCCATCTGCGCCAATCTCATTGGTCAGCAAGCCGCCCTAGCCGCCCTCCAATCCGCTTCCGCCGGAAAGCCTTTCGTTGACCGCCTCATCCAAACCCTAGCGCCGAACCTGGAACAGGCTCGGGATGCCCTAGCTGTACTCACAGGTCCGGCAGTGGGGGGCCGGGTGTGGGGCGGGGAAGGGGCGATTTACCTCTGGGCGAAGCTTCCCAATGGTTGTGAGGATGATGGGGCGGTGGTGAGATGGCTGGTGAGTGAGCATGGTGTGGTGGTGATTCCGGGGAGTGCGAGTGGTGCGCCCGGGCATATTAGGGTTTCTTTTGCGAATTTACCTGCGGAAAAGTACAGGGTTGCGGCTGGGAGGTTGAAGAAGGGGCTTGAGGAGCTGGTGAAAGGGGGAGTGAAGTTTCCTCTTGATCGGTAGAGAGCGTTTCTTTGTTACCTAATTAGGTGGTATTGTATTACGGTATTCATAATATTGACGTACGAAGCCAATATTACATTAGATGGTTCTTTGTAGCCAAAGCACACGCATAGGACACTCATGCGCAAAGCCCTATAAGGGTATATTAGACTTCAAGTGTATCGTAATCACCCGGATAGACGCCCCTCCGTAGGACTAGTCCCATAAACTTTATCTCGTGCATTGGGACTTATACGCATTATTCGATTATAAGCCCCCCGTCCTCTCAAATCCCTATACGCACCCCCACTCTTCCCCCCCCCCCCCCCCCCCCATCCCCCCTCATTTTATGCTTATGTTATGAAGTTTGCAGATTTAGGCATACTGCACTAGAAATAACAATTTTTTGACAGTCAGGAGTCATCCTACACTAATCTAAGCCTAGGATAGGATGTGCAAGCTCAGCACTGCTCACAGAGATCTAGTACGGTATCACTAGTCAACTCCTACCTACACCTACTCCTATCTGGCATCACTAGTCAACTCCTGCCTACTCCTCCCCCTTCCCATCCTCCTCCTCCTCCTCCTCCTCCTCCTCCTCCTCCTCCTCCTCCTCCTCCTCCTCCTCCTCCTCCTCCTCCTCCTCCTCCTCCTCCTCCTCCTCCTCCTCCTCCTCCTCCTCCTCCTCCTCCTCCTCCTCCTCCTCCTCCTCCTCCACTTCCACAGTCCCACCCTCAGCGCCAAACGAGTTGTCCCTGGAGAAACCGTCCGCCCCCACCTCGTCATCAACATCCACCTCCGCCTCTCGCCTGTTGCGCATGTGCTGGAGGGTGAGATCATCTTACTGCTGTTGAGAGAGTCGCTGATGCCGCACGTCTTGAACCCACCCTGAATGAGGGAGGCGGGGATGGCCCTCCAAGCCTTGGAGACCCACTTAAGGATCTCCTCGGGTGGAGGCTTCTTGAGGTTTCCTGCGTGCGCAAGCAAGAGTACTCAATTAGAACTCTGCTTGCAGAATTGAACAAAGTTTCAAAATCACAAGATACTCACCCTTCGCAGTCTTGGAGTACATCCCCACAGAGTCAAACCAATCTTGGTAGTACTGCCTCACCCGAGCCTTGAAAGTCCGGTTCACACATATGTGTGACTGATGTGAACCATCCAGTGTGAACCATCCAGTGTGAACCAGCACATATCGGCCTTTTCCAGCCAGGTCTTCACACCATCCGCATCCATCCAGCCGTTGGGTTGTGTCGCAACAAGGACATCTGCACAAAGGAACAAGCACGGCTGTAAGCTTGGTACATGCGTATGAAAAAAACAGAAAAGAAACACACTGGATAACGCGAATTCAGGACATACCACTATGGAAATCCCCTTGCGGTGCGGTTTTCCTCTTGAAGTAGACCCACGGCTTCAGCTTCTCCCCTGCAGCCATGCACGCGAGCATAAGAGTAACTCGCTCCTTCTCGCGGATGGGTACGGAGTTGACGCCGACCTGCTCGACTGTGTGGTTTGCCGGCATCTCCGACCACAGTGGGGTTTGGTCGGCATTAATTATCCAGCGTACTTGAATGCCGTACATCCTCCGCACCTCCCTGCAGGATCGCCAGAAGTTCTCCACCTCATCGCTGCAACCAGTGGGAGAGCAGTAAGTGAAGAGGAAAGAGAGTGATTAGTAAGATCATTCGCCCGAACATCGTAGACAAAGGAAAGGATATGCAGGAATAGAGCCAATAACATTTTACTTACTATCGGTAATTTTCTGACCGACTTTCGTCTTGGCGCGAACCAGCAGATTCCACCTCGCACGGAATCGTTCGGTCCAGCGGTAAGAGCCCTGCCACTTGACGTCGGGGTGGAGAACCTTCATGAGCTTCCGTGACCACTTATGCAGCCTTGAAACCGGTACTAGAGTCCCCACTGCACGCGCGGCGAGAAGCTTCGCATTCACTTGTGTGTCCATGTCGGCGTACCAAGAAGACCTCCCCTGCCTGTGCAGTCTCTTACGACAACCATGGGCCGCTCTTAGCTCCGTCTCCTTCTTCGACCACTCGTTGATCCGGCGGCGCGATATTCCTGACTCGCGCGCAACTTTGTTCTTCTTCTTCACCTCCTTCAAACGGTCGAGCCAATACAACTTCTCCTTGGCCGTGTATGAATTTCGCTTCCTTCTATTCATGCGATTCCTGGGGGATGGGGGTTGGGCATCTCGGTTCACAGAAGACGGGTGAGGAGGTTTTCTGCCCTCGAGGAACGACGGCACAGGCAGCTTCTCGGGAAGACCATCCCGAGACCAGTTTTCGGCCCCGTTGTCAGCATCCGCGTCGTGCTCGGGCCAGTCATTGCCATGCGGAATCCCTCAATCATGAGCACATGGTGGCGCATCGGAAGAGGCCGCTCCTCATCTCTACTCCGTGTTGTTATTCCCTAAGGGTGAACCGGAACCCGGACCCCTCGCACTTACGCTGAGGCGACCTCGGGACCCTGGGCCTCTCAGTGGATAGCTCCCTTGAACGCGGAGATGGCATCTTGGAGATCCACCGGCACCTACGTCGACGCAGTTCCCCCACCTGGGGTGAACGTAATCGATGGCCAGTGGCTCTTCAAGATGAAGCGCCCTCTTGGAGAGGCTACGTTGCTAGAGGCTTCAGTTAGCGCGAGGGTCTTGAATTCTTTTAGACCTTCGCCCTGACCCCGAAGTTGACCACTCTTCGGACGCTACTACACGTAGCAGCATAGCGTGACTATGAGCTGCACTCCCTCGACTTCTCTATAGCGTTTCTCTAGGGCAATGTGCACAAGCAGGTCTACCTGCGCCGCCCGCCAGGCTTTACCTGCACCTTTGCCCCTGGGACCCAGTGGCTCCTCCGGTGCCTAGTTTTCGGCCTGCGGCAGGCGCCCCGCGAGTGGCACAAAACGCTGCGTGCTATGTTAGCTGACCTGCAGTTCTTCCCGTCCTCTTCAGTTCCTTCGCTATTCGTTCCTTCACGCCAGACCCCGTTCTACATCATTGTCTATGTAGACGATCTGGTCTTCGCTATTGCAGATAGAGACGCGCTGGCCTCCGTGAAGGTTGAGCTGCTGAGGAGACACACCTACAGTGACCTAGGAGAGCTGCGCCACTACCTTGGCCTGCAGATCTCCAGGGACAGAGCAGCGCGATCCGTCAGTCACACTTGGTGCGCCAGGTCCTTTAGAGGTTTGGTCTTCAGTTCTCCTCTGCATAGCCCACACCTCGGCCAGTAGATCACAGGCTCTCAGCTCTAGTCCATGAAGAGTCAGCAGAGCCTAGTGGTCCGTACGCAGAGCTGGTGGGCTGCCTCATGTACCTGATGACTTGCACTCGTCCAGATCTCGCATACCCTCTCAGCATCCTGGCTTGCTTTGTGGCCACAGGCACTCACTGACCACAGCACTGGTCGGCCGCTAAGAGGGTTTGCGTTATCTAGCAAGTACATGGGGCATGGGGCTAGTGCTAGGAGGACGCACGCCAGTTGTCCTTACAGGGCACACAGACGCTTCGTGGGCAGACAATGCTGAGATGCTCAGGTCCTCCTAGGGCTACTGCGTTAGCCTTAGTGCAGGTGCCATCTTGTGGAGGTCCACCCGCTCATCGTCTATTGCACAGTCTAGCTGTGAGGCTGAGATCTACGTCGATGCCATGGCGGCACAGGAGCTCCGTTGGCTGACTTTCTTTCCCACAGAATTAGGTGAGCGCCCTAGCTCTGCATCGGTCCTGTACGCTGACAACAGGGCCATGATCCTCTTGTGTCAGGAACCTCGACTAGAGGGCAGAGCAAAGCACATCCAGCTGCGGTAATTCCTCCCGCGCAAGCTACAGCAGCGCCGCCAAGCCCGCGTAGTACACTTGGCCTCCGGTGCCAACACAGCTATATCTTTACTGAGGCACTTGCGCCTAAAGATCATCAGCGGCGCTGTGTACAGCTTGGACTAGTTCCTGTAGATTCTCACTTGCTAGGACCTTGATTGTGTACTTCTCTTTATATATACCTTCTTGACTGGCTTTGTGGCGCGTGTTCCAGTGGCTGGACTAGTAGTGCCGCCCCTGGGTTACTCTTGTTTAGTTTGTACTCTTGCTGACTGGTCTTCAGACCCTTGCGTCAGAGGTTGGACTACCGTATCCACCTGGATAGGCGTCCCCCCAGGGGATAGGACCCTGAGTCCTTTAATCAGCTAATGGGGCTTATGCGCATTATTTGATTATAAGCCCCTCCCCTTTTGGAGAGCATTTCGTGATTTAAGCCCCTCAGCATGTAAAAGTGTAATGTAATTTATACCGATAGGTCAAGCAGCTTTTGCCCTCATTCCGCAAAATTCGGCTCTGGACAGTTTAGTTGCGTGTTTCTGCCGCATGTGCACTCACTACATACGGTATGACCTCACGTCAGAAGAATGCGGTCCTACAAGGCTCACACATTCAAGTTCGCAACTCAAATTGGCGCGGCTCGTTTCGTCGCGAAACTAACGCGAGGTTGAATCTGATGCGAGCTATAGAAATGGGCCTGAATATCACCCTGAATAGTGCGTGCATAGCAAGATTCCCATTGGCTCATTGAAGTCAGCAAGTGGCAGCATCTTCGGAGAGCATTTTCGTGAGATTCTTCCACATGAACCTTGCCTATTCAACCACAATTCGATAGCAGCAACATGTGGGTACACCCTCCTATTTAAACAAAATGTTATTAGAATTTTGTAAGATTAGCCCTGGGGCGTATTTTTTAAAATTCGTCATAAGCCCCACCCCTTCTCAACCCTATTCGCCCTACACGCCCCTAGCCTATCCGGGTGGATATGGCAGTAGTTGAGGGTGAACATATATGTTTGACACACCCCCTAGGCTAGATGAGGGGCAGTGCCTGGCAAGAGACACACAGCTCAGAGTGGCACTACTAGTCCAACCTCTGAGGTAGGTGTCCGAAGACCAATCAGCAAGAGTACAAACTAAACAAGACCTAGCCAAGGCGGTACTACTAGTCCAACCACTGGGACAAGAGCCACAAGGCCAGTCAAGATAATATAAAAGTAGCACACAATCAAGGTCCTAGCAAGTGAGAAGCTACAGGAACTAGACCAAGCTGTACATAGTGCCCTTGATGATCGTTAGGCGCAAGCGCCTTCGTAAAGATATCACCTGTGTTGGCACCTGAGGCTTAGTGTACTACGTGGGCATGGCGGCGCTGCTGTAGCTCGCGTAGGAGGAAGTACCGCAGCTGGATGCGCTTCGCTCTACCCTTCAGACGAGGCTCCTAACACAGGAAAATCATGGCCCTGTTTTCAGCATACAGGACCGGGGCAGAGCTAGGCTGCTCACCTAAGTCTGTGAGCAAGAAAGTCAGCCAGCGGAGCTCCTGTGCCGCTATGGCACCGGCGTACATCTCAGTCTCACAGCTAGACTGGGCAACAGACGACAAACGGGTGGACCGCCATGAGACGGCGCCTGCACCAAGGCTAAAACAGTAGCCCTGGGAGGACTTGAGTGTCTCAGCGTCGTCTGCCCATGAAGCATCTGTGTGCCCTATAAGGACAACTGGCCTGTGCCCTCCTAACACTAAACCCCATGCCCGATGTACTTGCTAGATAATGCAAAACCCTCCTAGCGGCCGACCAGTGGTGTGGTCGATGTCTGCCTGTGGCCACAAAGCGAGCCAGGATGCTGAGAGGGTATGCAAGATATGGACGTGTGTAAGTCATCAGGTACATGAGGCAATCCACCAGCTTTGCGTAAGGACCACTAGGCTCTACAAACTCCACAGAGACTGGAGCGAAGAGCCTGTCATCTACTAGCAGAGGTGTGGGCTGTGCGGA